CCTCCATCTCAAGACTCCTGTCTGCAGCCACTTCCTGCATACTGGATTTATATCGACTCAAGGGAAAGTCAATGGAAAGGCTGCAGAGTCAGACAGCAGTCTTACAGCGGAGGAGGAAACGTTTGAGCATCCCGAAGAAAGAAGCCTATTTATTAGGGTTATTGATGAAGAGCTTGAGTTCTCTCTGCAGAGTCACATCTCCCTATTGATCACACGCTAATTCAGCCTTCTCACACTCCCGCTTACGCAGCAGATCACTGAGCCGTCCTCAGAATGAAGTGTGCTCTGGAGTGAGCATGCAGCACTCCGCTGGGAAAACCTACTCGCGTGTGGATCAATCGGTCGCCGCCGTCGTTCTGCTGAGCCAGAGGTACAGGGTGTGCCTGCTAAGCCATACAAGCATGGGTGTGTGCCATGTATGTTGAATCCAAGTCTTTGCTGTCTGCAAGGACAGCCTGTTTATGAAAAGAACGAAAAAGCAAAGGGAACGACTCAGGACGCACACTCTTCTTTGAGTGTTGAGTTGCAACGTGAGGGCTCTTCAAGGTGATGCAGCTTAAGATTCTGACCTTCACGCACTGCTGAGGTTTCTCTAGACTTACCTGCCTGCAAAATACAGTCTTGATTCAGTCTTAAGTTTTATCGCGTGCATTTGTGGAGTTGAAAGTGTAAATTTTTGCATCGTTAGCATCACTGAACTGTATAGGGCACAAAGCATAACCGACTAATTCTGTGAACTGAATGAATTATGTGACAAAACACAGTATTTCATGACAAAATGCAAGAAGATAGTAGCACAGTCACATGTTGTATGTAAAGTAAAGCAATTCATGACTGCAAACTGAAAATTAAATTAAAATTTTGTGTATAAAACATGCTTCCATTTTGTTAATGGTGGTGAATGTGTCTTTTATTTCATGCACAACAGAAAACAAATTAAATATGAACAAAATGCACGCAGCATGTCACAAGACCAATTTTTCTCGAAAAAAAAAAACTGACTGTTAATTAAGCAAAAAAAATGTAATGCTCATTTTGCAAAACCATATTAATTTCGTAAACAATAGAAAACAAATTTGCTAACAAAATGTCCACGAAGTGTTCACTTTTCATAAAAATAAATGTTTGTTTTGTGAAAAATGTAACATTTATTTCGCAAAAACTGTAACATTAACTTCATAAACAATATTATGTCTGTTTCATAAACAACAGAAAAAAATACTCTCAGCATGTCACAAAATGCATTTGTCTGCTAAAATATTCATTTTTCGAAAAACTGAATTTTTAAAGGGGTCATATGATGCGATTTCAATTTTTCCTTTCTCTTTGGAGTGTTACAAGCTCTTGGTGCATAAAGAAGATCTGTAAAGTTGCAAAGACTAAAGTCTCAAATCCAAAGAGATATTCTTTATAAAAGTTAAGAGTCAGCCATGCCCCCCTAAAACGGCTCGTTCTAACACGCCCCCACATGTCTACGTCACTATGTGGGAAGATTTGCATAACGCCGCCCAAATGTTCACGCAAAGAAAGAAGGCATAACTTTTATTCTCGCTGTAGTATAGTTGTTGCCGCCGCCATGTCGTGAAGACGCTGTGTGCTTCGTTGTGAAAGCGAAACTACTTTGGTTGGTCTTCCAAAAGAGGACGATATCCGCTTCGTCATGCCTGGAGCTGATCCGTGCTGGTTGTTGAGGAAATACATCAACTTTGCGCTGTGGATCGCCGGATTGGCTTTCACCGTAGACGAAGCGGAGTCCAGCCCGGGGTCGTCACATGTGGTTGATGCTGTGTTTCGTTGTGAAAGCGAAACTACTTTGTTTGGCCTTCCAAAAGAGTTCCAAAAAACTGTTTCCTGATCCTGGGAGAGTAGACTACAATGCCGGCTGTTCTGACTCAAAGACTGCAAGTAAGTTTTTTTTTATATTTAAAGAATTTGCCACTGATGATTCAAACTTGAGTTTTGGGCAGTGTAGAGTAGCGCTTGTTGTTTGTAATTTCTCCGATCACAAATGCAGACAGAGTTTTATGTTTACGCGGCGCGATGCAACTCGTAAAAAGACAGTATAAGTCATTATAATCAGTAATTATGTCCCCACTGGATGCGACAAATGCCTCGTTTATAATGGGTTTTCATGTTTTTGAATAATCGCTCCGGCCTGACACGGCATCAAAGTATGGTAGGGGTGTAACATTGCCCGAATACCTCAAGCGTGAGATGGAAATCACAACACACTGGATAGCTGGCCAATCACAGCACACCTCGCTTTTCAGAACGATGAGCTTTGTAAAAATCGACGTGTTTCAGAAAGGCGGGGCATAGAGGAGAAACAATAATGTACAGTATGTGGAAAATAATGTGTTTTTGAAACTTAACCCCCACATAAACACATTGCATTACACCAAATACACAAAATAATGTTCTTTTTAGCAACATCATATGACCCCTTTAATGCATTTAATGCATTTCATTCATAAAATGCACATTCTGTGAAGAACATAAGCAGGTCTAATTTACTGCATTTTTGTCAATAAATACTGCATTTTCATATCATGCATTTCATTCAGTCCACAGACTGGATACAGCTGATACCCCATAAAACAGTGTGATTGAACAAAACAAGTGATTGTTTTTAAACCGGTTTCCTCAAACACTAAGCTTATCTACAATTGGTCAGCCAAACATTCATCCCCGCCCCCAACTCTGACCATTGGTTGAGCCATTGCTATATCAGACAGGTCGGGATGTTTAACCAAACAGAAAATGTTTTGAAAGTGTTTACAATTTTAAGGAAAATCAGCCTATGAATGAATGACTTTTAATTACCTCTAAGTTGAGATAGAAAAAGTATTTTACATTGGAAAAAAATGCACAAATGTGTGGAAGAGACTGAAAAAAAAAACTGCCAAAGTCCTGCCAATCCATTCACAAGAATGCAAGGAGCAAACTCAATTTTCCATACTCAAGAAACACTCTGTAAAAGAGAAATCCTGGCAATATCAGTGTTGGTTCACCAAACTATTCAAGGCCTGTAGAACATAAGTGCTTGGACGCGATGCCAATATTAACAGCAGATTGTTGAGATCTGGGCAGGAGTATTAGCACTGATGCCAACTCAAGACACGCAGGAACCTAATGCCCCTTTACAACAACAATACAGCCTGTAGCTATGCAGCATCTACATGTCTACTGACAAAAATCAACACATTAATAATTAAACAGCAAGACCTCATTAAACTGGAACGCATACAAGTTCCTCTACTGCACTCAAATGTTCATTTTTTCCCCCAAGTTCTGCAACTTAAGTGGTACAATTTTCTCAAAGCTTCTCAATAACTACACAATGAGGATAAATTGTTTTACTCACAAGCATGCACATGAAGCTTGAGCCAAAGTCAACAATGTATTTAAGTTCTTTCTTACTCCAAATCCTGAATCAAGTGGCATACAGAAAGCAGATCTGGAAGTTAATTTGTCCAGTTTAGGAATTCAAAATGAAGACGTGACTACACATTCATACTACAACCGGTACACCGCAGCCAGCTCTTTTAGTAGCAAAGAGTTTACCTTCAGTTTTATGACCACCCACTGAGAAAACATTTGGTAACTGTTCAAGTGTTTTGTCTGCATGTCCAGTGGCTTTCTGACCAAATTTGTTGGGTCTTCATGACCAATGAATTTCCATTACCTTTCCCCTTATAAGATAAGGACGGAAATGAATCACCAAAAAACAATATGTTCATAACCATGGCTTGCAAACAAGTTTTACTCTTCACAAACTCTCAAGTTTAAAAGCTTGATAGCCGTGTTTTGGGATATAGTAGATGGTGTGCATCTCAGACCTCCGTCAAACCAGGTAACAGCTGTTTTTACCAGTTTAGAGGAGTCAGGTTGGTGAACATAGTAACCGGTCGACCAGCTACACATTGGATCGTCCAACTTGGAACTAGATTATCTATAATGAACATAGGAATTTCATGACTTTTCCAGACCTGGAAAACACCAAATGTCCTACTTCCAGGTTGTTCATGGCCATCGAATCCCTGCCAATCAACACTTTGAAGGCTTTAACCTGCACCCTATCCATAACCATTAACCACTGAGCCACACAAGCCATTATTATAACATATTCATCATGAATGTCGAATAATGTGCGAGCAACACTGAGTAGGCTGCATGCGTGGATCCAGGCTTCAGCTCGAGCTGATTTCCAAAGGAAGTTTCCAGTCCTCGCCCTCCATCCGTGCTCTCAGACCTCCGTCAAACCAGGTGACAGCTGTTTTTACCAGTTTAGAGGAGTCAGGTTGGTGAACATAGTAACCGGTCGACCAGCTACACATTGGATTGTCCAACTTGGAACTAGATTATCTATAATGAACATAGGAATTTCATGACTTTTCCAGACCTGGAAAACACCAAATGTCCTACTTCCAGGTTGTTCATGGCCATCGAATCCCTGCCAATCAACACTTTGAAGGCTTTAACCTGCAACCTATCCATAACCATTAACCACTGAGCCACACAAGCCATTATTATAACATATTCATCATGAATGTCGAATAATGTGCGAGCAACACTGAGTAGGCTGCATGCGTGGATCCAGGCTTCAGCTCGAGCTGATTTCCAAAGGAAGTTTCCAGTCCTCGCCCTCCATCCGTGCCTCTGAAGTTCTTCCTACGCTCCCAGTTTACTTGCAAACACTGTAATGCATTTTACTGTAACATACGAGCGTTATATTAACAGCCGACGTGTCTGTCCTCTTGGAAGGAGTTTCGAAGCCGAACGCACAAGCGCGCGCCGAAGTTGCAACAATGTAACGAACAATCCTTTGTGACGTAACAAACAAACACCTCAAGCGGACCTTTCGCCGACGGTCTCTTCCCCATCTATCTATCTTTCTATCTTTCTTTCTTTCATTCTTTCTCCAGAAAAAGCTAAATGTTGAGAGCAGCCGCGCAGTTGACACGCTGTGTTTCCTCAGAAAACAAGCACACTCGACTTACCTTGGCTATGGCTTTTTTATATCTCATTGTGGCTTGCTGAATAAGACTGTGTATTGTGATATTCCCATCCCCACAGGGAACGACCACCCGCGTCCTTCCAAAACACACTGTCACTTTCATATTCGCCCGATATTCCCAGAGACTCCTCCACAGCGAAGCGAGAGAAGTGCTGAACTCTTCAGGGAAACTCAGTAACGTTAAGCCACGGCAGCATTGTGTCGGTGCAGGTAAGAAGCGGGACGAATCCTCGTGCTGTGCTCCTCAGGTGGGACTGGGTGGGACTGGAGCACCTGTTCGGCGTGTGTCGCGGTGGAGTGACCGTGGGCTGGGCTTCCCACGCGCTCTTCCACAGCTCTCTCCGAGACTCACACTGACTCACTGCTGTCTCAAAGCGTGCTCCTCGTGTATTCAGTGTCTGCTTCAGGTTATAGACTCGTCAAGTAAAAATGATCTCGTTTTCTGTTTGAAATAAGAGTATTTAGCTTACCCTATTGGCAGACTATTTTGCTTCTTCAAAGCAAAAACTCACTTCATTTTGACTTGACTAGAAAATCCTTCTTGATTTAAGAATTTTGAGATATTTTGGCTGGAAACAAGACAAAAAATCTATAAGTAAGAAAAGCATTTTTTTGCAGTGAAGGTTTCTTATTGCTATTAAGGTTCATGGTGAAACCTTGGGCCATTAGGTTAAACCTAAGAGGAAAAAAGGGTTCTTTTAGGAACTGTTTTCTTAAAGGTTCTTTAGGGAACCAAAAATGGTTCTTCTATGGCATCATTTTTTAAGTGTATGTGCTTTTGCGGGTGGGCAAAAATGGGTCATCATTGGGTTTTAGACTCGTTAAGTGCTGCTATATTCTTCAGTTGCTATTCTATTCGCTACCTACTAGTCCCAGCTTCAATTATACACCACTACATATTCAAGATGTAGGCTAATTCATACTTTGAGCAACCAGAAAACTCTTAAAAATAAAGGTTCTTTATTGCTATTGAAGGTTCCGTGATGATCCTCGAACATCTATGGAGACTTTCCATTACACAAAGAGTTCTTTAGAGTAGAAAGAGCGCTTCAGATTTTTAAATGATCTTTAAACTAAAAGAAAATGGTTCTTTTAAGAACTGAAAGGTTCTTTAGGGAACCAAAAATGGTCTGTTCAAAACACCTTTTTGGAACCTTGTTTTTAAGAGTGTATGTGCTTTACTCCTGTGGTGCGCAAAAATGGGATATTGGGTAAAAAAAAAAAAAACTTTTATCATTTTGCCTGACTTCATCAGTGATACAGCTTCAACATCTAGAACATAGATCCAGGAGTAAATTAGATTGATCTCATTAATAAATCTCTGTAAAGTATACATATCGCCTGCAAAACTTTAATTGTGGTTTTTATGATGATTGTATGGTCAATTAACAATTTAATAGCTATTTAATTATTTATAAGGGCCAATTTAAGCTTATCATAGCCTGGACATTTCCTGTCTGACTGTAGATGAGATTATGTGTGGCAGTCTATCAGTTAGCCGTCTGATAACACTGGTTTATGCCTGGACATGTCAGTCATTTATGAACATTAGCTGGCCTAGATGATGGACGTGAATCATATGACGGACTTCCAGCTGTTGGTAGTTCTTAATTATTCTGGTTTAGAGCTAAACCAGCTTGAGTCAGTAATAAACCATCTGTCATGTTCCAAAAAAACATGTTCCAAGTTTGTAAGACATTGTTTTTTTTTTTTTCAAAAGAGACAAAATAGCTTTCTAACTTTTGCCACTTTTCAGAAATAAGCAGAAATTTGCTATAAACATACACTAAAGGGATAGTTCACCCAAAAATGAAAATGTGATGTTTATCTGCTCACCCCCAGGGCATCTAAGATGTAGGTGACTGTTTCTTCAGTAGAACACAAACAAAGATGTTTAACTCAAACCGTTGCAGTCTGTCAGTCTTATAATGGAAGTGAATGAGAATCACGGCTTTGAGATCACCTCCATTATATGACTGACAGACTGCAACGGTTCGAGTTAAACATCTTCGTTTGTGTTCTACTGAAGAAACAGTCACCTAGATCTTAGATGCCCTGGGGGTAAGCAGATACACATCACATTTTCATTTTTGGGTGAACTATCCCTTTAATATTTCAGCAAAGACACTGGACAGAGATGCAGCACTTGTTTATAAGTAATACTAGCTCAAACGTTTCTTTTGAGTTAAAAGGTTTTTCCCGCTGTCAAAACTATATATATACTGTATATATATAGTTAATTTAAAAAATATGTATTTAAAAAATAAAAGTTTTATTTAAAAAATAAGTTCCATTTTTCTGATGCTCTTAATCATGAGCAAGAGAAAGGGAGAAATACAGAGAGAAGGTGCATTAGGTCAAATTGTTATTTGTTTGCAGCCTCAATTGAAGTAGGACAGCAAATGACAAAACAAATGTGTTTCCATGTAGACAAACACTGTTCAATGTTCAGACATTGAGATTTTCTTCTGGAATAATTATTTTTAAAAATGCATTCAGATTTTTAATAATGCATAACACCCCCTTGTGGTAGAAAAAGATGCTTTATCTTAAAGTATCTGCTCTTCACTTGTAATGAAGATGTATTACTTTCTGTAGCATCCAGTGACTCGACATCTCTGAATCTGCAAAATGTCAGGCTTACGTAAGATGCTGTATATTATACAGAAATGTTTTGCTGATGACACACACATACAGTAGACATGTTGATTTGGCCAGGAACCTCCATATGGGTCTCATTAGGAGCGAATCCTCAGTTAGCAGGAGCCGAGAGTGAACAGGCTGCTGACTGAGATTTACTCACAAAGAATCCCAATATAGCAAAACCCGCAGAAGTCCTGCAGTCCTTGGTGCACCAGAGTAAACCAGGTCATTTTGTCCAACAAAACACAAAAAAAGTTTCAATACATCTTCAAAATGGTGTACACATATGAAATGAACACAGCGTTTTAGGTTTTACGGTTTTAACTTAAATTACAGTTAAATACCGTAATTTCATTAACTGATGTAATGTTAATATACAAACCCACTGAAGTACTGAAATCTGTTTTGTACCTTTGTAAACACTGCACCAAAAGCAGGAGGTGATGAGAAAGTCACATGATGAACCAAAGCCCATCACAAGCAGCTTTTAAATAATAACATATATAGAAACACTAAACACCATAACACACATGACACTGAAATCATGCAATAAACATTAATTTAACAACATTAGATGTAACATACAACCCTAATATACAAAACTGATAAGAACAAACTAAGAAACATAGTTATTTCAACAAAAAACATCAAATTTGAAATGTAACGCAGGGAATTCTGGGAATGTGAATTTACAGTTATTCACTGTAAACTATTCAATCTTTTTCCACTTCCAAAAATGGTATACTACCGTAAAATTACATTACAGTTTTTCACCGTATATAGTAGGGAAACAGGTTTTTACTGTAGCATTTTTACAGTCTTTTACCGTTAAATTCATGGTCATTTTTGTGTGCTGGACTTAAAGCAGCGCAGCACAGAGACTTACTGCAAGTAACCCTAATCCTAGCCATATAGTAAGTACATGTAGTTAATTAATATTACTCAGTACTTAAATGTATAATTACACTGTAACAAAATGTTCATAATCAGATTGCGGTTACTTTATTTTAGATTACACGATTACAAATTATTCACAGAAAGGCAGTAAAATATAATTTATTAATCATTTTTTTTCTTTCCTTTCTAAAAATTCTACTGTGTGTCATTGTTTAGCTTTGAATATTTACAGTATGTAATGTACATTCATTTGCGATCCACGCTTCTGAATTTGGGGACAAAAGCACCTCTCCGGCAGCTACAGTATACTATGTATGAAACAAAGTTACTAAACACTGCTGACGTATAACTGACAAAAATATTTAAAACTGGAAGACTTCATATTTATTAATATTTCATGTGATGCAGATTCACAAATTTGTCCGCCCAACCCCTTTGACCTAAAATATTAACTTGAAGCCCCCCTGAGATTTAATAAAGTTAATATTTCAATAATTTAACAACACATTTGCATGTTTTGCTGTTGAGTGGTGACATTGCCATGCAGGTAAAAAAAAAATTAAAAAGTAAAAATTATATATATATATTTTTTTTTTTTTTTTGTTTACCTCTGCAGTTCTTTCATTTACTCCAGTTTGGGAAGCCCTGGAGTAAAGTAATGTTTAATGCATTTCACGATGTTAATGAGAAATAATTCTCCTTTTTGGTATACTTATAATCCCATTTAAATATATAAACAAGTTAAGTCAAAAGTAATCTAAAAGAAACCCAAAAGTAGTCAGAATGCATTGCCTACAAATTAGTAATCTACAGTAGATTAAATTAATGACTAACATTTTCATCATGTTATTAGTAATCAGTAACTGACTACAATTTGCAAGTAATCTACCCTGTACTACTCATAAATATGATCTTTCTGACATGATTTGAATGCACCATTAGAAAAAATATTGAGGTTCACCTTTAATATTGACTGACGATGAAGTCGTTCTTAAAACAGTTACGAAAAAAAGTGTGTTTTTTATTTGTTTATTTGACAAGCAGCAGAATCATGTTTGTCACCTCATATTTGTTTTTTATATCTTGAAAGTAAATGCAATTATCAGTATACCGGTTTTATTACAATAGTTCTTTGACTTTGATACATTAAAAAAAAGAATACACACAACAACTGCAACGTGAGAAAAGAAAGCGTGGTTGTTTTTTCGGCCGTTTCTCAAACACTTCACCTGTTTTGCTCTATGTGATGCATTTCATTCGCTCGCTTTCTCTTGTACGATTAAGTCTAAAAATGTATTATCCTTTTACGTTCGAGTAGCTATAGGCATTTTCCTTTTTCATAGACGCACTTGGCGTGGCACTGGTGATGTAAACAGCATAAAATCAGAAGGGGGCGGGATGGGGGTGCTTTTGATGACTGTCCAGCTACTCGGAGGCCCTTTTTAACAAAGATGGAGGCACAGAGTCCCGATTCGATCCGATGGTTGAGTGCCGGAGCCAGCCAGAGCCGAAAATAAAAGACATGTCTACCGTTCACGCTTAACGGCGTTTTTTTGTTTATTTTCTTTCATTAAATGAATATGTTTTTATGCGACATAGCTGTATTCGTCCGCAGAGCTCTGGCTTCGCTCGATGTACTGCTTGTCGATAAGAACCTCAATGCACTTCTTGATCATGCTGATACTCGGGTTGAATCTCGCTTTGGATTGGTTGATTACCTGCAAGAATAAGCACACACCAACAAAATTAGGCTGCTTATATTCGGGATAGCACACACTCATCTTGCACTTATCTTTTATACAGTACATGTGAGAAGACACGAGTAATAACGCAAAAAATTCAGCTTTGCATCACAGGAATAAATTGCATTTTACAATATATTCAAATAGAAAATAATTATTTCAAATTGTAATTTTCACAATATCACTGTTATTATTGTATATCAAATAAATCCAGTCTTGGTGAGCAGAAAAGACTTCATTAAAACATTTAAACATCAAGTTTCCATGACAACTACTGTATTACTACATTTCCAGTTCTGGATGCTAATTGGTCAATACAGTGATTATTTATATATATATAATTGTTTTTTTTTTTTTACTATTCTCTCTTGACTTTTTCTACAGATCTCTGGAACCCATCTTGGGACTCTTTTTTTTTTTTTTATAATAATAAGTAGCATAAGTTAAATGTATACAGTTTTCAGTATGTTAATGCTCTGATCCTAACCTTACATTCAGATATATGTTCTGTGCTTTCGGTGTCTGATTATAAACTTGATAATAATCTCTGGTTACAAGGACATTCTTGAGAATTGATAAGAACTGTCTTGTCACGATTGACCCAGAAACTAAGGATTTTACTTGTTCAGCAAAGCAGATTAAAGTTGCAGACTCTGTAATCCATATCTCCACAGTAAAATCAGCCTTCCTGTTTTTTTTTTTTTTACTATTTTCTCTTGACTTTTTCTACAGATCTCTGGAACCCATCTTGGGACTCCACTTTTTTTTTTTTTTATAATAATAAGTAGCATAAGTTAAATGTATACAGTTTTCAGTATGTTAATGCTCTGATCCTAACCTTACATTCAGATATATTTTCTGTGCTTTCGGTGTCTGATTATAAACTTGATAATAATCTCTGGTTACAAGGACATTCTTGAGAATTGATAAGAACTGTCTTGTCACGATTGACCCAGAAACTAAGGATTTTACTTGTTCAGCAAAGCAGATTAAAGTTGCAGACTCTGTAATCCATATCTCCACAGTAAAATCAGCCTTCCTGCAAGATAAAAAAGCAAGGCAAAGCTGCCTCGACTGCACCACTGTGTTCTTGATTTACTGTATATATTACAATGAATAAATAAATGCTGGACAGGATAAATTGTTATTTAATAAACCAACAAATTGAAAGGTTGAGCGCTGCCATTGTTATGAGCCATTTTCTGGCAGAAGATGTGTTTGATGCTGTTTGTTCCAAAGCAATGAGAAGCACATGGACTAACAGAGAAATCCACACACCGTCACACAAACACTGGACAGCTGCAGGAAGAGCTGGAGCACCACAGCCCATAATCAATCTATTTCATAATTCACACCTGCGTTTGTCCTTGCATTTACGGTAAACAGCTGAAGAAATGAGTAAATGTTTTATGTCATTACCACAGCTTTGACTAATCTGATCAATTTATTTTGATCAAATTACTTGTGGTTTTGCATGGAGTAATACTTTAGTTATGGAAGCCTGTTTAAGCCACAGCACAGAAAAAGGCAACTGTGACTATTTATCTCGCAATTCATACTCACGGTTCTGAGAAAGAAAAAAAAAGTCAGAATTGTGAAATTTAGTTGAGCACCTGGAGAGCACTTGTGGAATATCAGATTATGGTATTATGCAATTATTTCAAACTCATGTTTCTGATTTCCCCTTATAGTTAAAAAACGTCATTGGTGCAATGTGTCAATGCGCAGTGATAACACGGAACAGGGTGAAACAGTAGAAGAACAACGTTTGCATGTAAAATTTGTAATTATGATGAAAATTTCAGGTCAACTCTGAACAAAGGTGAAATAGATCCCAAAAGAATATATATCATAAAGAAAATAATGAAGAAAATAAAAGTCGTCGTCTATTTTAGGGTCATTATATATCAAAAATATATGTTTTAAGATTATTTTTTGTTTGCATTGTGACCTTATTTTAAGAAAATAACTCACAGTATCCCACAAATGATCATTATTGTAATATAATAATTATTTTAATAATAATAAACATAAATCATTGCAAGCAAACATCATTGTAGTATTTGCTCAGCTCAATTTAATATGCGGATTTTAAACAAATCTGGTCAGAAACAATGGGCCTCATTCATGAAACACGAGCAGGACAACTTTTTGTGTAAATCATTCGGAAAGTCGTTCTGACGTCAATTTTCCGTATTCTGAAAATGTTAGTTGGTACGAAAGCGCGTGTAAATGGTGCATAAAACATTCAAATGTTCTGTATTCTTTTAGACAAACTGATGCATTTTTATGAACTATGTGTTAGAATGATATTTAACGAGTTCATTTGCCCGGTCTTTTTCTTTTTTCGTTTTTTACTCTTTAACTTTGGGTAAAACGCAGAGCTCGTCACGTTCCCTTTTTACACAGCCGTCCAATCACAGTGGAGGAGGGGCGGGACAAACATTACATTGACCAACCATGATCATACTTGTACAACACAACAATGGAGAAATTAATATTGCTGGTTACTGCATATTTATATTCAGTAATATTCTCCAAAATAAGATACTTGTAACATGTTACTGCCGTGAATATTCCAAATCGTAGGAAACAACCCGTCACTCCAGAAAAATGCAGTGCCTCCACAGCTCTCTCAAGCACCACCAGCTGGTCGTTTTCAGAAGAGCACCAGGCTAAAAACGCTCTGATGGACACACGTTAATTTATTCATTTATTGTTAGGCATATAGCCTATTAGTCTCTTCTGCATTTATGCTATATAACTTACTAAACCTGAGAATCGAGTCCAAGGATTCCACACCATTCCTAGATACGTAATTTGCATAGCTGTAATTCATAGATGGGGAATATACTAATTGTGAATGAGCATGCCCCTATTTACGAATGATTGGAATTCATTAACATGCGCACATTTAACTATCAAATCTGACCTTTACGAAGTATTTGTGAATCCGGAGGAGAGTTTTCGGGAAGGTCCGTTTTACGCGTAAATTACTCAGAATTTACTCCTATATTTACGAATGTTTCATTAATGAGGCCCAATGACTTGATGTCATTGATTATCCCAAAACAGGCTTCTTTTTCTTCGTGAAAACTAAGTGAAAAATATTGTTTTCTTTTGATTTTGGGGTCAAATATGACCCAGATCACCCATGTGCATGGCTAGTGGAAAAACAGTGTGAGTTCAGAGCCAAATGTGTGTGTGAGCAGTAAAAACAGTCTCCATCACAGTATTCTTGTGTAACAGGCCGGAATGGATCTGATTACTTGTGCACAGAGTCTGATCTCTGCATCAGGTACCACACACACACACACACACACACACACACACTCCTGTACACCTTACACGCTCGCTTTAACGTCTGAAGCCACAAATTCAGATCTGAAACTAAAAGGTTGCAGCGTTAGCAGACGAGAACCTGTCATCTCACCTCCTGTATGAGAGCGTTGTGTCTCAAGACTTTCCTGGCTTTCATAATCCTCACTATAGCAGCCTGTAAATACATTTTCCTGTCTTCATCCACGGCACTCCTCGTCTGTTCCAGCTCCTGACGCACACAAATAACATCACAGCGTTAATACCACTAGATATATAACAGGATCGACCCAGGACATCTGCTCAACATGTGCTGGGAGATTTGTCTGATTTTATAGAGGAATTTGAATGTAACGTTTCGCCACAATTAATGTTTTAAATCAAGGAATCACCATCTTTAATAAAACCCTAAAATCAGACAAAATTAGACAAATGCATTGACCTAAGAAATATTTAGCGTTTTTCTTATTTTTAGTGCTGACAAACGATTAATCGCATCCAAAATAAAAGTTTTTGTTTACATAACATGTGGGTGTGCTGTGTATATTTATTATGTATAGATAAATACAAACACATACAGTATATATTTTGAAAATATTTACATGTATATATTTATATTATATATAAATATATTTAATATATAAACACAACATATTTTTCTGAAATATATACATGCATGTGTGTGTATTTATACATACATAATAAATATACACAGTACACACACAACTTTTATTTTGGATGCAATTAATCGCGATTAATCATTTGACAGCTCTACTTATTTTATATTACTTCTATACATATAAGATACGTTTAAGACAAGTTCGTACAATACGTGTCTTCATATTTCAGGCATCTTTTCTGCAAAGATATTTTGAACTTATTTTTCACGCGTGCTGCACTTGGAATAGATCTTTAACCAGACGTTGCATGTTTTGAATGAAGAGAATGTTACTTGAATCATGTTATAGTTATGTTAAGTTAAATATTGAAATGGTTTTCTTGAATTGGTCAAACGTTACGATTGAATTTTCCGCCGCATCGAGTCTCTGTACCTGTGGCGTGTCTTTCTGCATCGATGTTGTGATCTTGAACTTTGTTCTTTTACTGGTGAAACTCATAATTAGGGAAAACGTGGATTCGGCTTCGATCTCCTCCTGGAGGAAAGGAGAACGTGGGAGTCTAGTTATGATAAATCAATTAACAGTTTGCTGAAAAGTCAAGCCACAGATGAAGCTGATTTGCAAACACCTGTGGCCTCGCTGATCTCAGACTTACTTTCTGCGAGTCGTGACTGATCATCTTGACGTCCAGCAGGGATTTAATGGTCTTCTGGAGCTCCTTCTCGTTCATCTGCGTGCTGTCCTGCAGTTCTTTGTAGCTCACAGTCTCGCTGTTGTTGAACGCCAGCAGAACGGCCATCTGATAGGTGGTCACCACCGCCACGTAGGGCTTGGACAGATAATTCATCTTTACCTCGCCTGACACAAACAAGAACCAGTGTTGTTAAAAAATTACTTTTTGTTAACTTAAATACAAATAAAATATTTGATTAAGAAAAATTAGATGCCGCTTCAACCCTTTCTCTGGCCATTATAATAAAACACGCCGTTTTCGCAACTGCCCCTTTAAGACTTTATTATGTAAATTACCTCTGTTATTATTGGCTTATCATTTTGCATGTAAAATGAGCAGCAAAATCCTTTTATATAAATGTGGGCAGTCATATGTTAATCTTTTTCCAAATGGTTGTGATGTCAAAATAGAGGTCATTTCTAAATGTATTTAATTTCATTATTTTAATAATTACTTCATTATTTGGGGGGCTTTTCTCAGTTAATATTGATATATGCAGTTAATTACAATAATTTCATTTTTTTTCAGTCAGCATATCGTTTAAAAAATAAATTCACTCCATTAACAGTCCTAATATTATATATTTACAACTAAAACTAAACATCTAAACAGAATATTTGACAAATAATAGAAATGACAACTTGAACTAATATTAAAACTGAAAACAAAACAATAAAACAATATGTACATTCTGTGCAGTTTGCTCGTGAATTCATAGCCACACGCTTGCTGCGAGGCAAAGGACAGGGGAGGGAACCGAGAGCGAGAAAAACAGTGAAAGGGCTGCTCGCTTTAATCACACAGTGAATGTTCACCTGTGAACATTTTAACACACTTTTCAAGAAAGACGACAAACCTTCAGTTTGTTGATCATGGCTTCCTCTGAGTCCATGGATAATGAAAGTCCATGTATTAACCTCTTTGCAAGCATTCTGGCGTAAAACTAAGAATAAACAACAATTAAAGAGAGAGTAAAACAAGGAATTAGAAAGTACAGACCACAAAATACTGAAAACACCACCCGTACCAGACACAAAATGTAAAAAAAAAATCTTAAAGGAAGGAAGATGAGTAATATTTGATGATAAACATTGATGTTGGCTTGACAAAGCTTAACCTGGTAGTAAAGTATAAAAATAAAACATTTTAACAGGTTAAAGTTTGAATGTTTTAATGTCAGCTAGACCGAAAGTAAGTCAGATAAAAGGAGGAAAACATACAAAATCCCATTGTTTTCAGCAGGGTGATTTTCTGTTCTCCTGTAGATAAATCAAGTCATGGCCTCACCTTCTGAAACACATCTTTGTCATCAATGTATTTGAAGACCGTGATGAAGCTGGTCAGTTTGTCCTCCACTTCATTCTCCGTCATTCCTTTTGCAGATTTCTTCAACAGATTGTCACAGTACTTAGCCAGCTGTGCCACAGCACGAGAAACACCGGCGAAGAGGAAAAGCAGTGTTAACGTTCTGACCGTGCGTGTTCATTAGCTTCATTCAGAGTTTATTTAGTCATCCTGATCTAACGTTGGCAGTAGCTGAGGATAAACAGTGATTACACACCAGCTCAGGCGCTTTGCAGATGGATTTGGGCTCTCTGTAGTTCACTACTGAAGTCAAGGCCTGGAGGGAAATGAGCAATAAAATCACAAACCACAGTGTTTCTAAACACTCGCATGCATTCTGATCTCAGATACCCCCTACTGGTATTAAAGGGAGAAGGGTGATGAAGTTGGTAATATGCGGCTGCTAAGTATGTGTTATGTTATGATATGTTATGTTATATGTTATGTTATGGTTGCATTATATTACATATTAAAAATATCCATGCTTGCATTTGTATTGTTTATATTGATTAGTCAGAGGGGCAGGTGCAGCGGAGGACTTATTTCACTGCGCTGCAGAGCCGAGAGATTCAGAAGATCTTTCATCCCGACGGCCATTGTGCTGTTTAATAGTTCTTGAACCCTTTACCTCTCTTTTATTGTTATTTTCTTAGTGTAAATTTGACAAAACAATGTATATGTTGGGGCAATGGGTTTCGGGTATGCCTTGGTATTTATTTTATTCATCTATTTATTTTTATTATTGGATTTGAAGGACCAGGTATAACATTTAAGATTTATTTTATTCATCTATTTATTTTTATTATTGGATTTGAAGGACCAGGTATAACATTTAAGTCAGTAATTAGTTGATTACTATTTATTTTTAGGATTATGTGTATTTTTTATATGCATGTCTTTTATGTATCTGTTGTGTGTTTGCTTGTCTACGGTGTTTTTGGATATGTGTGATCTACTGGATCATTGAATTTTGAATAAAGTATTATCTATCTATCTATCCGTCTGTATTGATATTTTACTATCATTAAATGCATCATCCATTCATTCATTCAAAGTATTGATGCTTTTACTATCATGTTATGTATTATATTGCATTACATTATATATTAATGATTTCTATAATTGCATTTGTATTATTTCAAAGTAATTATGTTTTTAGTTATAATAACTGTTATAATATGTTATTATAACTGTTTATAGTTATATTTTCTATGAATAAATTCCATAATTACATACGTATTATATCAAAGTATTGATGTCTTTACTATCTTTATGTTATTTATTATATTACATTATATAGAAATCATTTCCATTACTGCATTTGTATTGTTTTAAAGTATTGATGTTTTTACTATCATTATGTTATTTACATTACATTACATATAATTGCATTTGTGTTATTTTAAAAGTATTTAAGTTTTTACTATTATATTATATATTAAACATTCATAATTGCACGTATAATATTTCAAAACACTGATGTTTTTACTATCATTCTGAAATATGAAGAAGAGTAATATAGTCTAAATGTTTGCTTGGTACTGTATATACACTTGTAAATCCTTTATGAACTGCGTTGAAATGTAAATGTACCTTATCAAGCGCACTCATGAAGTGTTGGTCCCCATTCAACACTGTGTTAATCAACTGGACAAATTTACTATGAACCTCCAACACTGACTCCACAAACAGGGTTGGCATCTGCAGGACAAAGATCAGAGGAAAACATGCAATTAATGCTATATACAAACAATTCTGTACATAAAGCGGTTTTATTTAGCTATGCATAATTTTTAGACACTTACGTTTTCCTGAGAGAGGTTACTGGTGGCTCTGAGACCCTCATCGTGGATGTGGACCTGGAGCTCCTGGATCATGTGAGGTAAGCCGCTGGACACGGCTCGCAGTAGCGTGTACATATTCGCCATATCTGAAACCAAACACACCATCAGGACGTCCTACAGTTATAACATGCCAACTGAGACACATACGTACAAACATAAATCCATAAGCCGAAAGTGAAAGCTCAAACTGGTTATAAGTGTAACTAAAGTGCTGACCGTCTCTCTTTTCCTGTCTGATGATATTTTGACACTCGCCGTGCAGGAACTGCAGGTGATCGGCCACCATCCTCTGCTGACATTCATGGATGACTTTGGCGTAAGAGCTGGGGTGCAGATACTTCCGACATCTCACCTCCTCGTCTTTCAACCGGCCTAAAACCTGCCGAAACAGAGAGCATCAGCCACTGGCCAGCAGAGAAAATAAAGCTTCCTTAAAGGAACACTCCACTATTTTTGAAAATGACCAAAGAGTTGATCAAAAGTGACCAAAGAGTTTCGATATTTTTCCTATTTAAAACTTTACTCTTCTCATCGTGTACTAAGACCGACGGAAAATGAAAAGTTGTGATTTTCTAGGCCGATATGGCTAGGAACTTTACTTTCATTCCGGCGTAATAATCAAGAGACTTTGCTGCTGTACCATGCGTGCAGCAGGCACAGTGATCTTACGCAGTGCCTGAAAATAGGCTAACTTCTGTCAACATAACCAACGTGACCACTTGCTTGCACAGGGAGCGTGCTGGGGACTATTTTCAGGCGCTGCACAATATCACTGCGCCTGCTGCATCCATGGTACGGCAGCAAAGTCTCTTGATTATTACGCTGGAATGAGAGTATAGTTCCTAGCCATATCGGCCGAGAAAATCACAACTTTTAATTTTCCGTCGGTCTTAGTACACGATGCAACTAAAAATGTAATAGGAAAAATATAGAAATCCTTTGGTAATTTTTGAGCGAGATGCTAACGGTCTAATCAGATTCAATGATCTATGCTAAGCTACAGCTAAAAGTGCTACCGCCAGACCCGGAGATCGGCTGAATGAATTCGAAAACGGTAAAACTCAACTGTTTAACTCTAGGGGAGTTGGAAAATGAGCCTATTTTCAAAAATAGTGGAGTGGTCCTTTAAGATCACCAGATATCAAACAGCAACATGCGAAACAGACAGAACGATCAGAAACATGTTTACGTAATTGATCAAAATGCAAAAGATGGACAGGTTATGGTTACAGCATCTCACCTTCTCCATATACTGGGAGCAGTTGGACTCCTGCAGTAGATTGGAGGCTTCCTGTTTGTAATACTCTCCGGTTTTTGTCAGGAACGGCCCCTCAAAGATCTCCTGATAAAACTGAGTAAAGGGGAAAAAAATGGTGTGGCCTTCAAATGAGATGCATGATTGCTGATACACAAACTCTGAGCATGCAAATATGTACACAAATGTTTGCGGTCTGTAAGATGTTTCCGAAAAAGTCTCTGCAGCTCACCGAGGCTGCATTTATTTGATCAAAAATACAGTATTGTGAAATATTATTACCATTTAAAAGAACTTTTCAATGTGATTATGTTCAATTGTAATTTTTAGCTGTGTTCAAAGCTGTATTTTCAGCATCATTACTGCAGTCTTCAGTGTCACATGATCTTCAGAAATCATTATAATAAGATGATTTGCATTTCTGATTATCATCAATGTTGAAAACATTTTTTCATATTTTTGTGGAAACCGTGATGTAATCTTTTGGAACATTAGAAATGTCTTTACTGTAATTTTTGATCAAATTAATGCATGCTTGCTGAATTAAAAATATTATTTTTCTTTCAAAAAAAAAAAAAAAACTGACGCAAACTTTTAAACAGTAGAATACACTTTTTTTTTTATATATATATATATATATATATATTTACATAAAATATTACTGAAGTTTCATGATTGCACAAACTAAGCACAAACTAAAAAAAAAAAAGATCAATGACACATAAAAAAAACTACCAAGACAGAGACACTCACCTTTAGAGGAAACTTTTTCTTGTACTGTTCAACATGAACAAAGGAGTTGATAACCCCATGGATTACTTTCTGATTTGGGTCCTCTCCACTTCGGTCGCTATGGAAACAACATTGAAACTGAATAAGTCTGCACATGTATCCTCAAACAAAGTATACTGAAACAACTTGGGTTCAGACCATGCAATCATAGAAATTTGATGGAAAGTATCTGTGGTACCAAAGACTTCTGCCATAGATCATTTTTAGTTTGTAGAAACAAACCGTAAACGCATTTACAGTAATACACAACAGAAACTACAGGCAAATGGGCAGAATGGTTTAAAAGCATAAACGTGAAGCTTGTATTTTTCTACAGCACTTGTTTGAGCTAGTGTGCATATTAAAGGGGTCATATGATGCAATTTCAAGTTTTGCTTTCTCTTTGGAGTGCTACAAGCTGATTGTGAATAGATAAGATCCCTGAAGCTGCAAAGACTAAAGTCTCAAAACCAAAGAGATATTCTTTATCAAAGTTAAGACTCGTCCACGCCCCCCTAAAACGGCTCGTTTAAACACACCCCCACATGTCTACGTCACTATGTGGGAAGATTTGCATACCGCCCAAATGTTCACACAAAGAAAGACGACGTAACTTTGATTCTCGCTGTAGTATTGTTGTTGCCGCCGCCATGTCGTGGAGACGCTGTGTTTCGTTATGAAAGTGAAACTACTTTGTTTGGTCTTACAAAAGAGGACACAACTAGAAATCAGTGGTTAAGTTGTATTTACAACACTGTTCCAGAACAGTTTCCTGATCCTGGGAGAGTAGACTATAATGCCGGCAGTTCTGACTCACAGACTGTAAGTACGTTTTTTATATTTAATGGATTTGCCACTGACGATTCAAACGTGCGTTTTAAGCAGTGTAGAGTAGGGCTTGTTGTTAGTCATTTCTCTGATCACAAATGAAGACATGGTTTTATGTTTACGCAGCGCGATACGCAACGCGTAAAAAGACAGTATAAGTCATTATAATCCGTAATTATGTCCCCACTGGATGCAACAAATGCCTCGTTTATAATGGGTTTTATTGTTTTTGTCTCGTCGCTCCGGCCGGACAGGGCATCATCACAGTATGGTGAGGGGCGTAACATTTCCGTCACACGCTTGAGGTATTCGGCCAATCACAACGCACTGGATAGCTGGCCAATCACAGCACACCTCGCTTTTCAGACCGATGAGCTTTGTAAAAATCGAGGCGTTTCAGAAAGGCGGGGCATAGAGGAGAAACAATAATGTACAGTATGTGGAAAATAATGTGTTTTTTTAACCTTAAACCGCATAAACACATTGCATTACACCAAATAATGTTCTTTTTAGCAGCATCATATGACTGCTTTAAATATTTTCCATAATTCATGACTATCCATTTAAGCCAGTCTTAGGCCCTGTCCACACAAATGCGGTTATTTTTAAAACCGCAGCTTTTTCTACGCGGTTTGGCTGTTCGTCCACATGTAAACGCAGCACCAGGTCACTGAACCGAACATTTTTCAAAACGCCTGCCAGGGTGAAGATTTTCAAAAACTCCGGTTGCAGTGTTATCGTGTAGACGGCGAAACCGGAGTTTTTGGCTTGTGACGTCGGAGCCTGCGCTGTTATCTCCGCCTACTGGAGACTTTGTCAGGCTTCTGATTGGCCAACATGGCTTTACGGTTGAGATTATATCGCCACCTATTGGTTTGGCATGCTCTTGACAGTGCTTCATAGCATGCGTTTGCGTTTCCATGTGGACGGAGATTTTTTTTAAAAATAAAAATACCCGTGTACGTGTGGACATGGCCTTAGATGATAATCTAAAATCTTGAAATAGATTAAACAGTTAAAATATCCAATATTGGTTGAAAAGAAAAGAAAATATTTATTGAAATGTTATCTTTTTAATTTAATTTAATTTTTATTATAAATTTGATTGAAATTAATACAAATGTTTTAGGTTAAAGTATTTAACCAGAAAACATTCCTTCTCTTTTCAAGTTTAACTTACTTCTTGATCTCTTTCAGAAGCATCCCGATCAGCATCGGCTGAAGGGGCTCAATCATTAGCTTCCGCCACATGTCAAGTGCAAGCTAAAAACAACAACAAAAAAACAAAAAAATCTTACAAAACTTTACAATATGCGAAAGAATAAACACCACAATTTGAAATGTGCATAGCTTAATATCCAATCTGTTTAGATTTAGAAAAATGTTCATATGCCACCAGCTTGAGTCATGAGATACTGGTTATAAAACCATGCATACCTCTCCAATCTCCATTAAGGGCTCATTCATATCCACTCCTCCGTATCCGTACTGCAGGTCTGCTTCGGTCAGCTTGTTCTTCTTAATAAACTGTGTGTTAAGGTACCTGCGGGAAATTCATGAAAACACTCATTAAGGAAAATCAGTTGCTATCATTTTAGATGAATAAGTGCGTGTTGATGCACAATAAAGCCACAGGTGACGTCAGTTCAATAGCTGCTTGTTTCCACAGCTGACCAAGAGCAGCAGGACAGTGATGGGGTTCAGTCCAGCATGATGAAATCAAGCCCAAACTGACCAAAGCCCTTAGCGAGGCCGAGGTCTGCGTGCCAGAGAAACAATACCTTGTGCACTCAGAGTACTGCATGAGAGCGAGCCGTCAGAACCAGTAATAATGAAATGTATGATTGCAAATAAAGCAAATAAAATATTGTCCCTAAGTAGTGTGCAATATCCCTCAACCAACCATATTAAAGTCTAGTGAGTGTATGTTCACTATTGCAAACACAACAGGCACACTTCAGGGAATACTGTATGATCCCACGGTGCAATGCTTCACTTGCCATTTCAACAGTTCCTGTTGAACTTAAAGCAACATCAATAAATGATGAAAGAACTTTCATTTTTGGATGAACTATCCCTTTAAACTTGGCAAGGAGAATTGTATCACTGAAAAGTATTGCACACATCATCTTTAATTTCCACAAGAGTTCCCTCTGCAACAGTAGCTGAACTCACCTGTATAAGCAATCCATGTACTCAGCACCTTTGCTGTATTCCTCCCAGTATCTGTGATACATCACCAAAACCTTCTCCTCCGACTCCAGGACTCTCTGCAAGACACACACACCGCAATGACGCAACAGTTAAACCGTGATGACACTGGCCTGAACCACGAGCATCTTACCTTGAACAACTGACGGACGTGATTTTCCAGAAACACCTTCGTCTCAGTGTACAGTCTTTCCCCTAAAGGCTCTGGATACGCAACACACAGCGCATAAATGTCACTGAAACTCCCGTTAAGGAGATTTCAATGCAGGATGCATGTAACTTACACTACCGTTCAAACGTTTGGGGTCAAGCAGATGCCATAAAAACGTACAATTTAAAAGAACTGATTTCTTATTTATTCCTGTGATGCGCAGCTGTATTTTCAGCAGCATTGCTCCAGTCTTCAGTGTCACGTGATCTTCAGAAATCAGTATAATATGCTGCTCAAGAAACATTTCTGATTATTAACTTCACTATAATGATTCTTTGATGAATAGAACAGCATTTATTTGACAAAGAACCTTCTGTAATTTGTAATGTCTTTACTAGGCCTGTTGCAATAATCATGACATGACCTCAATCATTTTTGGTGACGCAATATATCGCCCATTATATTTTCTTAAAAATTAATGCCACCATGTTTGGTACATTCCACTTGCGCCTGTGTCTTCTGCAGCTTCTCGTACATAACGTGGTGTAGTCATGAGCTGCTAGTTCAAATTTTAAAAATGCTTCTACAAACAATGATTAATCTGCAGATATGGCCTTGTTTAGAGCTCTGTGTCTTTGTGCATACGGACATCTGACTGCTGAGTAGTGCTTGTGTGTTTCAGCAATAGTGTGCACGCTTACTTTACAGAGAAAAGAAGGTCAGGGCAAAATCTGTAGATGGAAAAATCTCCAAACAAGTTCTTTGTGCACTTTTTGTTAGAAAATGTGTATTTACTATTTATTCAGGTATCTAATATTTTGATACTTAATTTCCATGATTTAAATATTCTTAAAAATTAAAAGTTTGTTGTCATTTGGAAGTGTGTAGGCCTTCTTGCATTATTATGCGGTTACATTATGATTATATATTCAGTGGCATAAAATGGTCTTTAAAATGACAATAATATCGCTTATCGCAATTATTTCTGGGGCAATATATCGCACAACAAAAAGTCGTTATCGTGACAGGCTTAGTCTTTACTGTCACTTTTGCATCCTTGTGGAGTATTCATTTCTTTTAAAATCTTACGGACCCCAAACTTCTGAGTGGTGATGTACATATAAAGTAGAAAGAAACGAAAACAAAACAATCTGATTACAAGAAACGAGGGGGAAAAGAGGAAGCAACAGTTTCATTGCACATCATCTGAATCAGGACAGATGTGTCTCTACTAGAGTGCAGGATACGAGAAGCGGTCGTTCCACGTTGCTCTCTCCACGTAATCAAGCATCACAACCGCTCTGATTGTCGTCAGGAGCTTGTTCCACGTCTCATCGAAATCCACCACCCGCGGTTTTAAGGACATGGTGCGTGGCTTCGGCTTTAACTGGGGGAAAAGACATGAAGACTAATTCATTACATCATTAGCGCTGTCATTGTTAACTTAAACCCAGAAGAAATCGTAATAAGTTGACGTTGAAGTACTAAATGTGCTAAAAGTAAAACTGAAACCAAAAGCTAAACTAATGAGAAAAGCACAAAACAAAAGAAATGACCAAAACTGAAACCTATATAATACAGTATATATAAAACACGAGCGAATTAAAAAGATGAAAAAGGGGTTTTCAAGCATCAAAACAAATAAAAATGTAACATGGCTTTAAATTGTGTTTTTCTCCATTGGGGTTTAATTTTATTTTTTTTCTATGCAAAAATCATACCAAAATATCTTGTCAGGCATATTTAGATCAAGAATCATTAGATGACATTAAAAGGCTCACAGCGCAGCCCACAAATTACTAATGATTTGTAATTTAAAATCTTTTCCAATATCCGTCAAACAACTACGTTTCACCCATCTGTCATCAAGACATTTTCAATCATTTAAAATAGAATAAAATTTAGTATGATCATTTTTTCTTTTCTTTTATACACTTTTTGTATTTTATATTAAGTATGTCGTTTCATTTTTACATAAATATATCTGTAACTCTGAAGGACGATTGAACATTATTTCACCCATATTTTGGCATTTTATTTTCACAAACGTTATTTGAAACATTAACCCTTTAACTGTCACTCACATTTTTTGAGCATAGACGTGAAAGTGCACGATCCAAACTTACATTTTTATAATTCATGAACGAAAACATTTTGTAACATGATATTGACGTGCCATTTTCATGGTAATGCAACGTTTGATTTTAAAATGGGTTTCAAATGACGATTTTTGAGATTTAAAGTCTTAGACCTTTCCAACAATATATAGTTTGTCATGATTAGATTAGGATTTAATTGCAATCTAGTGAAGTAAACTTAGGCGTCCCGTGACAGTTAAAGGGTTAATCAAAGCAGACACTTTACTCGTATATGCATTCAATGCATATAAATTCACTTTTGCAAATATTATTTGATGCAGACACCAAAATGGGATGCCTCGTCTTTGACTCATAAACAAATACATTAATAGTATATAAATATAACACAGAATCCATGCATTTGCATGACTTCTGCGAGTTGAAACGCGTGGATAAGTAAATGCATTTTATAGAGATTGCTCATAGAAATAGACTGTGACAAGAAACAGACAAGTTTCTGATTTCTGCAATCCTTGTCATTTATCTTACATAAACCTCCCCGTTCTCAATATTTCAGCAGCACTAGTATCTCCCAATGAAAACCACACAAGGCTTGTGTATATGCTGTGTGTGATTTCATCTGACAGCTCTGTTTGGAAGAGTTAGAAGACATGCACGCCTGGCTTCTACACAAACCCAGCACCAAAGCCCACTAACAACAACACATTCAATGAGAAACTAACTGTTAGAGTGACTGATTGTCTTCATAAAGACAGATCAGCAAAGACCAACTTACTTCAGAGGTCCATAACCTCAGTGTCAACATCCAGCACAGCTGTCAACCCACATCGAAGTATACATATCCCCTGATCTACACAGCAATATCTCCATAATTACTCAAAGCAAACGAGTTTGCATCTCCAGCAGACCCACATCACAAACACTTACTTGATCTAAAAGAGAGTCACCCCCAAACTGCAGAGGCCTAGTTACACATACCATGACATAACTGCATGAAAACAGAGGCTGCTGGGTAATTATAAGCACATATGATTGAATAACAGCCGTGTATTGTGGTAAACAAACACACACACACGCGCGCGAGCGTGTGTTTACAACAGCTCGGTGTGTGTTTGTGACAGAAACACAGTGTTGTGGAGCTGAAGCAGAAGCTAGCGTCTGTGCTAACAGGAGCGCTGCTCTCACACACACACACACACACACACACCTGAGTTTGAGAAAGCCCTGCTGAGCTGCGAGTCTCTGGCGGTCCGCAGGCTCGGGTGTGCCGGGTCCGGGTGTGCTGTCCGCGGGTCAGAGTGTCACAGCTGCGGGGTTGAAGTCGAGCTGTCAGGACGCTGGATTCCTCTCTCTCCCTCTACACCTCTGCCATTGCCTCTCGCGGACTGCACCACTGCGTCAGCTGGAGGGGTGGACGAGGGCAGTTAAGGATGGAGATGGATATTAGAACCTTTAATCTACGTGAGACGCTTAACATAGGTTTACTTGGGAACGTATATAGATATTATGTATGACTGGGGTGCGTGGTGCATAAAACGAATGATAATAATGTATAGCAGCTTTTACCGGACTCCCCTTTTTACTGGTGGTATGGCCGAAAAGTACGGCAGCTGTTGGCGGACATTAGTCGTGACTGAAGAGCTGTGAGATGAGATGGCATTATGGACTCGATTTTAAAGAAATGTAGCCATTCTTATTCCTTTGAACGATTCCGGGCCCTTAATAGGTGCATTAACGATCAGTGTAGTGCTTTTTCAGAAAGAAAAATGTTTAAAACCTGCTTTTTGCATTTACTGTACTCATCAAGTCTATTGCCAAATGACATTTAACTGTTCAACTAAACAAATAGCCTATAACGAACCAGAAATCAGTTTCGGTCCGCCAAAAGGTCTTTATAATGGCTTTCACAGTCATTTTAAAGGTGGCATAAATTCATATTGCTTTAATATGTGTGGCCTTCTCTCCTTAAAAACTGTGAACTGTTGTTTAAACTCAATTGTGCAATGTTTTGTAGAGCACTTCAAAGATACAACTAAGCAACTCAGCTTTTGTGTTTTTGCACGTTGATAAAACATAAAACTGATTCTGATGTTCAAAAACAAGCATCAGAGATGCACAGAACAACCTCCTGGACATCAAGCAGTCCGATCTTCAGAAGCGGCCGTTCAACAGAGACTGATCATCTCACATCTCAGCTTGTCTAGCAGACATTTCTTACTTGATGTCTTATCCCATCCTTGATGAATGTCAAATAAACCGTAAAAAGAAGAATGTTCTCGTCAGAGCAAGTATCGAGACTTGCTGCTGCCAACACATCCACAACATGCTGCTGTGAGCATGTAAGAAATGCTGCTGCTGCAAATATAACATACATGAAATACCTCGTAGCACAGCTATACAGGTGGAGCTGGGGAAGGTGGAGGGTTACTGAATCAAGCTGCGACTGCTACAGCGAGCACTAGTCATGTATTTGAATGATTGAGCAGCGAGCTCATTGGCTACCGATACAGGAGAGAACCAATCAAGCCTTCTTCAAGAAACAGCTAAAAACACATATATTCTTGACCCTCTAAAGCAGTGAATCTCAACCTTTTGGCGTACCGGACCCCAGTCCAATTCAGAACCATCCTCAAGGACCCCCAGAACAAAATTGACTCGTATCATTTGTGTCTTTGTGAGGACCAAATGCAGTCAAGTTAGCTGACTTGTCCAGTATTTGGCCATATCATCAGCTATATTGGAATTTGCTTTCATGGGAACATGTCATGTCAAAATATACAAAATGTATACAAAAATTCATACTTTATACGGACCCCCTGGCCTTATATCAAGGACCACTAGGGGTCCACGGACCCCTGGTTGAGAAACACTGCTCTAAAGCACTCTCTATTCTATTTATATTATATCTAATTGTTTTCTTTTTATAAAAAACAACAACCCTCAGTCTAACACTAGCATTCTCTATTTTTATTTTCTATTCTATCTACTTGTTTTCTTTTTAATTATTATAAATAATAATAATAACTTGACCTTCAATAGCTCGGTTTTCTTTTCTATCAAATTTTTACTCTTTTTATTTATTATAAAGAACCTTGCTAACCGGGACTTTGCTCTTGCTCTTTTGGTTTGATTGCCTCTATTGTGTTCATTTGTATGTTGCTTTGGATAAAAGTGTCTGCTAAATGCTTAAATGTAAATGATTGGTGCACTGTACTCTTATGTCATTTTGGCCTGACATATTTTTTTGGCATTTATTGCCTTTTATTAGGACAGGACAGTTAGCCAGGATTCGAACTCGGGATGCCCGAAGCGCAACGGCACTGTATATTGGCAGCGCACTGCCCACGAGGCCATTGGTCTGATTTGTTTTTTAATCATCTAATTTCTTTTTAATTGTACAAACTTTAATAAGATGCAGCTCTCGCCTGGTCGCCCACTGAAGCTAAGCAGGGCTGAGCCTGGTCACTACCTGGATGGGAGACCTCCTGGGAAAACTAGGCTGCTGCTGGAAGCAAGTACACTCTTAAAAATAAAGGTGCTTCACAATGCCATAGTAGAACCTTTTTTTGTTCCATTAAGAACCTTTAACATCTGAAGAACCTTTACATTTCACAAAAGGTTCTTTGAAGGTTCTTCAGATTATAAAAAGGTAAGAAAGAGATGGTTCTTTAAAGAACATTTTACTGAATGGTTCTTTATGGAACCAAAAATGCTTCTTCTATGGCATCGCTGTGAAGAACCTTTTAAGCACCTTTATTTTTAAGAGTGTGTAGGTCTCTGCAGAAAGTAATGGGAGTTACCAGATTGGGGCGTTTTTAGACCATGTAACCTGATTGGCTGACGTCATAGTGACGGTAGGTTTAGGGGTGGGGTCAGGTAAGGGGGATCACCCAGCAGTTTGAAAACACCCACAAAGTCAGAAATGCCCACTTTTGCTCTGCAGAGACCTCAGTCTCGCTGGAAGAGGTGTTAGTGAGGTCAGCACGGGGTGCTCGCCCTGTGGTCTGTGTGGGTCCTAGTGCCCCAGTGTAGTGACGGGGACACTATACTGTCAACAAGCACCATCCTTCGGATGAGACGCTAAACTGAGGTCCTGACTTTCTGTGGTCATTAAAAATCCCAGGGTGTCTTTCAAAAAAAGTAGAGGTGTGACCTCAGCATCCTGGCCAAATTTGCCCATTGGCCTCTGACCATCCCCACATCTGCTGATTGGCTTCATCACTGTCTCCTCTCCATCAGTAAACTGATGTGTAAGCTGGGCGTTCTGGTGCAATATGGCTGCCGTCGCATCATCCCTGTGGATGCTGCACACTGGTGATGGACGAGGAGATACCCCCTCACAATGTAAAGAGCTTTGAGTGCTTAGAACAGCGTTATATAAATGTAATGAATTATTCCCTTAATATGGTCATTTGCAATGCACAAATGCTACACAGAACAAATCGTTATATTACTGAAGATAACATGCTAGGGCTGCAGGTGCTGGCTGGTGTCAGGTTATATGAAAATGTGCTGTCTGCATGATTACTTATGCTTACAGTTTTGTTTTATTATTCATACCACAGCACTAACAAAGTGTGTCTTTATAGAAATATTGCAAATATTGTCAAATTGATTTACACGGACAGCAGTTTATTTAATCATGTCTGGCAACTAGACAGAAAGGTTTTTACATTTTATTGGGATATATTAAAGTTAAATTAACATTTAACCATTTATTTTACTTACATCTTTGCTAAACCTTTTGCTTCAACAAATTCTTTTGATTTCGCTTTTTCAGACCTCTAGTAATAATTAAGAACCATTTTCAAAGGATCTTATACAACTTTGCTTTTTTCTATTAGGTTAGGTAGACATGACTTTATTACTGATTGTTAAACTTATAACTGAAGGACTATTTACCAATAAATTAACACCTGACAATGATGCCTAATGTGCGTCTGTGTTCATATAAACACCTAATTCAGCAATACTAACATTATTCATGAATTATATTGACATTCCAATGACAAATAGTGTCTTTTATTGCCACAAACTGCATTGCTTACATGAGCTGTGAGCTATAGAAGTACAGTAATATCATTAGTAGTTAATCATAATGGCCCAAGTAAACAATGGTAAATTATTTAATGAATCAAAATTCTTTTTATAACTTTCTCTCAAAAGTGTATAAAGATAGTGTATGCCTAATTTTGTGTAAATCGTACAAATGGCCTTAGATGACTTTGAAAAGTAAGTTTTGTAAAAAAGTCAAAGTGGCAGCAGGGTGCACTATGGGAAGAAGGCAGGACGGCGGAGACAGTGTTATGTTCTGCTGGGAAACCTGGACTGCTGGTATTCATCATGTGGATGTTACCTCGAAACACACCATCTAACGAAAGTTGCAGACCACATACACCCCTTTCAGCGGATAATTCACCCTGACACACTAGACGTAGCTCAGGAATGGTTTGAAGATCACCGTGGGGCAGTACCCTCAAAGGGAAACCATTAACCTTCTTTACCCTTAAAGGGTTCATATTACATTTATGCATTCAGCAGATGCTTTTATACAATGTGACTTACAAATGAGGACAACAGAAGCAATCAAAACCAACAAAAGAGTAATAATATGCAAGTGCTGTGATAAGTCTCAGTTAGCCTAACGCAGTACAAAAGTTTTTTTAAATATAATAAATAAAAAGAAAACAAGTAGAGAACGTTAGTGTTAGAGAGTCTCTTTTTTTTTTTTACAAAGAAAGAAAAGTTGAAATAATAAAAAAGATTTGAGAATGTTAGTGTAAAGAAGAAGATCATTTTTAAATAAAAAGAAAACAAGTAGATAGAATAGAAATAGAATAGAGAGTGCTGGTGTTAGAGGGTCAAATAAAGATGGAAGAGATGTGTTTTTAGCCGATTCTTGAAGCTGGCTAAGAACTCTCTACTCAGATTGAGTTGGGCAGGTCATTCCACCAGGAGGGAACAGTTAATGTAAAAGTCAGTGAAGCAGATTTTGTGCCTCTTTTGGATGAACAATAAAGTGATGTTCACTTGCAGAACGCAAGCTTCTAGAGGCACATAAGTCTGAAGAAATGAATTAAGGTAAAGGGGTGCAGAGCCAGTGGTGGTTTTGTAGGCAAACATTAATGCCTTGAATTGAATGCGAGCAGCTATTGGTAGCCAGTGCAAACTGATGAACAGAGGTGTGACGTGCACTCTTTTTGGCTCGTTAAAAACTAATCTTGCAGCCGTATATATTTATATATATATATATTAGTACTTGCGAATATGTTCCCTTAAGGTAGTAATACTCTTATGGTACTATTATGAGCTCTTTAGGGGTAAAAAAGGTACAAGGTTGTCTCTTTGAGGGTACAGAAATTTGTAGTGGTAATTTTCTGCCAGGTCATTAATTTGACTGAATACTATACAATGAAGTGCAAAATTCAAAATACAGGTAAAACACAAAGTCCTTCATTAAAACGGTACACTGCAGGACTTAAAGGATCTGCTTCTGATGTCTTGGCCTTGATGCGGCAGAGCAGTTTTTGCAGCACAAGAGGGACCAACATGATTTTACAGACAGGTTTAACGTTGTAGCTGATTAGTGTATGCATAGTGCTGTGTTATTATTACAATGTTACGATTAGCAAGCCGACAAAGACCAAAACTTGGACATCGAGATGAAGAAGTGTGATGTCAGGCCAGTGTATATGAACTGGGTCAACATCCCCTCAAATATGACAACGATAACCTAAAGTAGCTTTTCATGTGTATAATGCTCGTCTCTCATATCTGCACTTGAATTACTGATATTTGTTTATATCAAGGTCTTAAGAACACCAGCACACCAAAACACAGTCAGTGTCTCATAATGAACTCTTTTAGTAATAGCCTTTCATTTTCTCAGAAAGAAAGTGTTGCATCCTCAAAAATTATTTGGGCACAAAATGTATCAACGCATTAAACCATCAGAAAACATATAATTCTAGACATTTTTAACTATAATAATAAATAAATAACTTCATCGTTCTGAGGCGACTTTTAAAAATGACTTTTTAGAATTATAGTGTAACCACAGGACCACATAAACAATACTTTATCATCATTTCAAACGTATAACTATCATAGTTTTATGACTGAAACCCTTTGGAATTCTAAAATATTTGCTTGAAAATGATGGTCGTTTCAAATAAATGCTTCTTGTTTGATTTATTTGTTATAATATGTAATGGCATTTCGACCTAAACTGTATTTTTAAGACCTGTGGTATGTTTGTGGCAAGATTAAAATGAACGTTGCATACAAAAACGAATTATAAAAACTATTTGCATGGTATAACTGTTTTTTTTTTATTCCGCGATTGACTTTTATTTTGAAAAGTCAATAACACCTCCAGCCATTTCCGGGTTGTCGGTTCTTGTGGACGTGCATGTTGAGACTCAGGGAAGGTGAGGCTTCTTCTGCATCAGCTTTACATCTGTGTCTCAATGTTGTGGCGCAACTAATGCTTGTTTTTCTCTTTCGTCTGCTTGAGTAACAGCTGATGCATGTGTGTTGACATGGGACTAAATCGAAATGCAACTGAAGGAGGTGTGTTCAGCCTCCAGCTTTGATTTTGTTATCATATAGACATGAAGACATACATAATATAATCATTTCAAATAGATATAGATTGTTTAGAGTATTGCCATCTCTTTGAACATGTACCATGGTAATAATACCATGCTGTTGTTTTAAGTATTTAGCAGTTGCATGCAAATACCACATGATGATAATGATGATAGCAATTTAATGTCATAGTATTTTACTTTTTGTACCATCGCTGCACCAGAGTACAAACCTAGCACTTATTATAAAAATACAAAAATGCATATTTTTTTTTCCTTCTAGATTTTCAGTAAGGCATGGATCTGAGCATTGATCTGAAGGAGGTGGGGGTGTTTGCATCAGGGGGCCACAGCACTGGAGCACAGGAGTTTTACTTTTTGTACCATCGCTGCACCAGAGTACAAACCTAGCACTTATTATAAAAATACAAAAATGCATATTTTTTTTCCTTCTAGATTTTCAGTAAGGCATGGATCTGAGCATTGATCTGAAGGAGGTGGGGGTGTTTGCATCAGGGGGCCACAGCACTGGAGCACAGGAGCCTGATTCAGGAGAGGCGGCGAGGACACTTGATCTGCACCCATCAGGGGCTTCCTATGATCTGGGTGAGACTGCAGGGGTTCACATTATATGTTATGCAAATTGCATTCATGCATTGCAATATGCTAACCTCTACATTTAGATACTGTACCACTTATTTGTGAAAAGTCCAAACCGACCTTGACTTTGATTTCACTCGATAACCTATAGTAATGTGACCCTGGAGCACAAAACCAGTCACAATTTTTCGAAATTGAGGTTTATACATAATCTGAAGGCTGAATAAATAAGCTTTCCATTGATGTATGGGCTTGTTAGGATCGGACAATATTCGGCTGATATACGAATATTTGAAAATCTGGAATCTGAGGGTGCAAAAAAATCTAAATACTGAAAAAAATCGCCTTTAAAGTTGTCCAAATGAAGCTCTTAGCAATGCATATTACTAATCAAAAATGAAGTTTTGATATATTTATGGTAGGACATTTACAAAATATCTTCATGGAACATGATCTTTACTTAATATCCTAATGATTTTGGCATGAAAGAAAAATTGATAATTTTGACCCATACAATGTATTGTTGGCTATTGCTACAAATATCCCCCAGCGACTCAACACTGCTTTTGTGCTGCAGGGTCACATATGTCATCAGAAACTTTCTTATTGTTTAGCTGCCAAATATACTAAACACATGTATATATCTGTACATAACTAAACATTGTCGTTTTCCTTTCAAACGTCACCACAGATGACCACGCAAAGAGTCTCTGTGCCAGAGCCAAGCCGTTTCAGTGCTCTCAGTGTGGGAAGGGTTTTTCCCGCATTCAGCATCTGTCCGAACACGTCCGGATTCACACAGGAGAGAGGCCTTTCGAGTGCTTGGTGTGTGGAAAGACTTTCACCCGGGAGAGAGACCTCAAGACCCATCAGATCGCCCATACGGATGCCAAAGCCTTTCACTGCACGATTTGTGTTAAAAACTTCGCCCTGTTATCCTCCTTGAGAAGACATCTGCGTGCATTTCATCAAGGTACGAAATGTTGCCATGCACAATGCAGTGAATAGGACTAAAGACAATAAGATATTATAGTGGGTTTACAACGGATGAGTGTTTGTCCATCCCCCCTTTACTGTCGTATATTTAACTCTGTAAAACCTAATTAAGCTTATAAAACACCTGAAACCTCTGAAGGCGTGTCCTGGCAGTTTATGGTCTCATCCAATCAAAGACTTTTATAAAGATTTATTACAATTTATGTCCATTACATTACAATTACATAATCCAAATACAAACACAGAAATCGGTGCTTAAACATAAAAATGGTGCCATGCACAATGCAGTGAATAGGACTAAAGACAATAAGATATTATAGTGGGTTTACAACGGATTGAGTGTTTGTCCATCCCCCCTTTACTGTCGTATATTTAACTCTGTAAAACCTAATTAAGCTTATAAAACACCTGAAACCTCTGAAGGCGTGTCCTGGCAGTTTATAGTCTCATCCAATCAAATTTTAGAAACTTTTATAAAGATTTATTAAAATTTATGTCCATTACATTACAATAATCCAAATACAAACACAGAAATCGGTGCTTAAACATAAAAATGGAAATTTGCTAAAAATATATTTACTGAAGATGAGTTTGATTCTTTATTGGAACAGATTTGTTGAGAGAGAAATGTAGCACTGCATCGGTGTCTCAGCAATGGATGCTCTGCAGTGAATGGGTGCCGTCAGAATGAGTCCAAACAGATGATAAACACATCACAATAATCTGTATAATATACATACTATAAATGAAGTTAATAATACATAAAACAAGTCCATCAATTAACGTCATGTGAAGCGTAAAGCATGTTTGTAATGAATCCTTCAAGACATTAACTTCAAACTTGCTTTTTGCTTATAGTCCATAATCTATAATATTGCTTTCTCCAGTGAAATTTCATCTCGTCTGAATCAGAGGAGAAATCTGCACAAATCAAGCACCAATTACAAGCCAAAACAGCTCTAAACAACTGTGTGGTGGATTTTGATGTGAGAGACAACAGGAGATGGACTTTCTCACTGGAGGAAGCAGTATTATAGATTAAGGGCTTGCATTTTTGGATGGTTTAAAGTTAAAAACATCTTAATGATGGATTTGTTTCTTACAAACATGCAGCTTTTCGCCGAACAAGACATTAACTGATGGACTGGAGTGCTGTGGTGTGGATTATTGTGATGTTTTTATCAGCTGTTTGGACTCTCATTCTGACGGCACCCATTCACTGCAGAGCATCCATTGCTGAGACACTGATGCAATGCTACATTTCTCCAAATCTGTTCTGATGAAGACACAAACTGAAACTAAGTATTCTCTTTTTTTGCAGGTCAAGATGTTAGTACGGAGGGCAAGTGCTTAATTTGTGTCGAATGTGGGAAAAATTTTGCGTGTCAGCTGGAGGAACACGAGCTAACACACACGGGAGAGATTTCCCACCGCTGCCCCGACTGCGTCAACAGTGTCGCACGTCTATCCGGTCTCGCATCTCCTGAACAGACCTTCTCTGAATCCGAGGACATGAACCATTTGGACGCTCATGACAGTGAGAGGCCTTGCACTTCTGTGGCCTCTGAAGATCTACTCAAGCACTTACAAACCGACGCACTTAAGGACATTAGTGAATCTCACCCCCTGGAACTTATAGATAATATTGAGAGCGATGCACCAAATGAAAACATTCCCCAAAGTCAAGCTCCATCTGAGCTCTGTCACGACTCTGCACATTCTGCTGAAAAGGGTGAGTCTAATAATTACAAAAACCTTACCGTTGCACTCATCGTTTCTACCAGAATACCATATCCCAGAAATCTCAAAAGAGGTCCAAAATCACACTTTACGTACCACATTGTGTAATTTTCTCTTCACAGGCATTGAAACGCTGAATCCTCTTCAAGAGGAAGAGTCTGCAGCTCACAAGCAAGCGTGTGATGAATACAAACCGCATCAGTGCAATCACTGTGGAAAGGGATTTCATAAGCAAGCGAAGCTTCGGATCCATCTGCGCGTTCACACCGGAGAGAAGCCGTACCAGTGCTCCCAGTGCGGGAAATACTTCAGCCAAGCAGTAAACCTCAGAAAACACCACCGTACTCATCACACGGAGGAGAGACCCTACCACTGCACACTCTGCGACCGGAGGTTTTCTCTCTCCTTCTCGCTGATAAAGCATCAACGTGTCGCTCATCCAGGTGAGATCAGCAAATTTAAGTTTTGAAATAAAGCGGAGGAGAAATAGCAGAGCCCCCAAAATATGGAAATCAAACAGTTTGCTAAATTTGACCCCTCTGAGGTTATTTTGTTGAGCCATGTACTATTCAGAAGTTACCAAAATCAGGTGTTTCAAACCTTTTCTGACCTGTCAAGACCCCCTTCCTGAAATGTAAAGGCATTTATTCTGTAAAAATATCTATAAAATACTTTCTATTATGTTTCTTTTTGTTTGTTAGTAGAATAAAATTGATTTATTATGAAAATTATTATTAGTGTTAGTCATATTTTCAATAGTTTTCAATTATAAAAATATTTTAAGGACCTCACAGTGTTTCACAAACTTTTTGACTCCAAGGCACAACAATATTCAAAGACCCCTTGACTTTTCCAGTCGTCTGTGATAAGGATTATGGATAAGGATTTTTAGAAATATGTATATATACACAATATATATAATATACACACATATATATATATATAATAAATATATACATTTAAAATATTTATATTCAGTTGATATATATAAAACAAAAAATATTTTAGAGCATAACTAGAAAACTGCATATTTAATATAAAAATGCCCATGGCGGTTTAATATTTGAGTAATTTACTTTTCCAGGTCAAAAAAAAAAAGCACGCTTCCTCATATATTTAGGTTTTCTAAGACTGAATCCTGGTGCTTCAAAGAAAAACAACAGTTCATTCAAAATAACAAATATCTTAATTTTTTTAAGTTGTTTTCACTTAATGCTCATTTTCTCATATTTAAAATCATTTAAAGTCTTCTTGAAGCTTGTTGAGAACCTGCTGCCCAGTTTGCAAACCGTTTTGTTTAAATGACCAACAGCATTGCTAAAAATGGTTTGGTTTGATGTTATCAATTTCATATATCATTGAAAATACTGTTGATTAATTTCTTTTAACAGAACATTTGAGTGTTGCTGAAAGAAATCGCTTTACCTGTCCATACTGTGGAAAAATATTCGGACGACATCAAGATATGGAGCAACATAAACGCATTCACACTGGAGAGAGACCGTTCCGCTGCACCGTGTGCAACAAAAGCTTCAGGCAGCGTTCGGTGTTGATCGTGCATCGGAAAATTCACACCGGAGAAAAGCCTTTCGAATGTTTCGTATGCTTCCGACGGTTTTATGGTTCAGGAGATCTGAAGACACACATGGGAACTCATACCGGCGTGAGACCTCACAGTTGTCCTTTGTGCTCCAAAAGCTTCCCTCGGCCCAGCAGCCTGCAAGCACACATGCAGTCCCATCTGAACAAGCTGCAGGACGGAGATGCTGGAGATGCTATGCTTATTCCCGAGGAGGAGGACCAGGGTGAACTAGATAACTTGGAAGGAGTCTGTGGTGTTTCTGCTTCGTCGCAGCTATCAGCAGTGCTTTCTGAAAACCTTGGTGCTATTGAAGACCGTATGATTTATAGCTGTTTATTTATGGTTCGGTTATTTGTGTCTATAATAAGCATATGTCACATAATATTGCACATAATATGTTTTCAGAAATGAGCACAGGGGAGCGTCTATCAGAGACTGAGATGAGATTCAGTCCGTCGGTGAATCAAGACCTTGATGCTGATCAGAGTTCCAGCTCAGAGCTGACGGATCATCAGAAGCCATATCATTGTGCCATATGCAACAAAACCTTCTCTCTCGCAATTTCCCTGAAAAGACATCAACTTATATTTCATCCAGGTAGGATAGAAGTGCATGCATTAATTGCAATATTGGTATTTATTTTCTTAAATGAAGATATACCATTGCATTGGTCAACCTTAAAGTGTTCATCTTCACCTTTATTCCAAACCTGTATAAATTCCGTTCATCTGCTGAACACAAAATAAGATATTTTGAAGAATGTGGGTAGCCAAACAGTTGCCGGTCCCCACTGACTTCTATATTTTTTTCCCCATACTATGGAAGTCAGTGGGGACCGGCAACTGTTTACTTGCCAAAATTTTATGTTGGGATGGTAACAAGGTATATTGATATTTCTACAAATATGGAGTCATAGTCATCTGATTACTATAATAACTAGTAACAGGGTTGACATTTTAGTTATTTGATGATAAATAGGCAAACAAACTTGTCCTTGGAACTAAAAGTGTTTATTAGAAACATAATGTTGATAACTCAGAGAATGTGTCCTTTTCAATAATCATTTGTTTACTATACAAAATCCTGGTAACAGGGTTGACTTTTTAATAACTGATGAATAATAAGCAAAGATACTTGTCTTTGGAGAGTTCAGTTCCTGAAAATATTAAGTATTTTTTTACAGAATTGTTGTGTAAACAATAGCATGGTAACAGGGGTGAGGTGCTGATGGTAATAGGACTGACAAATTTCTTAATCTTGACGCTACAAATGTTTATTAGAAAGATAATTTAATGCTAATATTTCTACCAATATCCACTTGATTGAAAATGAATTTGTTTACTATACATCCCCACTGACTTCTATATTTTTTTCCCCATACTATGGAAGTCAGTGGGGACCGGCAACTGTTTACTTGCCAAAATTTTATGTTGGGATGGTAACAAGGTATATTGATATTTCTACAAATATGGAGTCATAGTCATCTGATTACTATAATAACTAGTAACAGGGTTGACATTTTAGTTATTTGATGATAAATAGGCAAACAATCTTGTCCTTGGAACTAAAAGTGTTTATTAGAAACATAATGTTGATAACTCAGAATGTGTCCTTTTCAATAATCATTTGTTTACTATACAAAATCCTGGTAACAGGGTTGACTTTTTAATAACTGATGAATAATAAGCAAAGATACTTGTCTTTGGAGAGTTCAGTTCCTGAAAATATTAAGTATTTTTTACAGAATTGTTGTGTAAACAATAGCATGGTAACAGGGGTGAGGTGCTGATGGTAATAGGACTGACAAATTTCTTAATCTTGACGCTACAAATGTTTATTAGAAAGATAATTTAATGCTAATATTTCTACCAATATCCACTTGATTGAAAATGAATTTGTTTACTATACAAAATCCTCATAACAGGGTTGGCTTTTTAATAATTTATGAAGAATATTTGTCTTTGGAGAATACACATTCTAAAAGGATAGTTTTACAGTACTGTAATACTATAGTATGGTAACAGGGGTGAGTGATGGTGGTGACAGGACTCACAGCCATTTCTTTGTCTGGACACTAAATGTTTATTAGTGTCTTAGAGTTATTAATCCTTGTAACAGGGTTGACTTTTAATTAATTAAAGAATATTTGTCTTTAGAGAATACACTTCCTGAAAGTATAAAGTAGTTTAATAGATTTTTTTCAATACTACAGTATTTTAACAGGGGTGAGTGATGATAGTGATAATATGATAGCCATTTCTTAGTCTTGGCACTAAAAGGGTTTAATAGAGCATTTAATGCCGATATTTCTGACTTTTCAATAATTAGTTTACTATACAAAATTATTAAAGAAAATGTGTCTTTGTAGAGTTCACTTCCTGAAAGGATTAAGAATTGTTTTCTGTAATACTACAGTATTGTAACAGGGGTGAGTGATGATGGTAACAGGGTTGATGCATAACCTGGAGTTTCAGTTATGTTCTCAATTTAACTTTTATTTGAGAATGGTTTTGTTAATATGGATTCTTCTTCTTTGTAATTTTAACAGATCAGCATGTTGACAAAGAGGGGAAGTGCTTCCCCTGCTCTTATTGCGGGAGGAAGTTTGGTCGACGCCAAGGCTTGTTACAGCACGAGCGAATTCACACAGGTGAAAGGCCCTTCAACTGTCCCACCTGTAACAAAAGCTTTCGTCAGAGATCGGCTCTGATTGTGCATATTAAAACACACACAGGAGAGAGGTCATTCCTGTGCTTTGTGTGCAATAAGAGCTTTTATACCCCAGGAGACTTGAAGAAACATCTGGAAATTCACACAGGAGTGAGGCCACACAACTGCCCTGTATGCTTCAAGGGGTTCGGGCGTCCCAGTTTCCTCCGAGCTCACATGCGAATTCACGAAAGTACGTTTGAAATGACAGTCCTGAAAAATTGACCATCCAAACTTACTTTCTTTGTATATGTCTCGTGTTTTTAATTTTACAGATTTTTTTTTTCTCTTTGATTTCCAGAAGCTTCAACAAATAAGCAAAGTGGAATGGAGAAACCAACAGGTGCTCCAAAAGTCGATGTGCAGGAGAAGCCATTTGAATGCACTCATTGTGGGAAGAGATTCAGTCAGCATTGTATGTTAAAAATTCACCAGCGGATTCACACAGGAGAGAGACCTTACAAGTGCTCTCAGTGTGGCCTGAGTTTTCGCTGGAGGAGAAACCTGATTGCCCACCAGAGCGGCCACCCGGGCGAAAACCCTCTCCAGTGTTCAATGTGTGATGAAACATTCGTCTCTGAAGCAAGTCTGAAAAAACATCAAGATGAGTTTCATTCAGGTAAGAAATTATGAGATGGCTAGGTACTGCCATGCATGCCATGAAAAAGCACTGTTTACACATTTTAATGCTTTGAAAAAGCATAAATTCTATAAATATTTCTTACTTACCAAGTAAGAAATGTATGTATTATATATCATGTTAAAAATAAATAACTATATTTATTATATATTTTTCTGTCAAGTTGAAGCCACAAAAAAAAAATAGAATGAATGCGTCAAAATGTGTAAAAAAAAAAAAAAAAATCAGTGTTCGTATTTATTTAATTTTAAAAATCTAAATCATTTTATACTAAATATCATTTTTTATATTTGATTTAATCATTAATTTATTATTCAGATTTTAGATTATATTTATTCATTTCAGGGGTCTCTCATACATGCAGTTTGTGTTTGAAGACATTTACTCAAGCAGCCGGCCTCAGAAAACACGTTCGGTATGTTCACGAAGGCGAGCGACCGCACAAATGCTCTGAGTGCGGGAGAGGATTCGTCAAACTTTCCGATCTCGCGCGTCATCAGCGCCGCCATCATTACGACCGGGGCGACGGACTCTTTCAGTGCTCGCAGTGCGAGCGAAGCTTCAGTCAACCCAGCAGTCTGGTTCTGCACCGACGGACACACACCGAAGAAAAGCACGAGTGCCCTCAGTGCGATAAGATTTTCAGTCAGGCGGGACACCTGAAGGTCCACTTGCGCACTCACAGCAAAGAGAATAAACCCAAATTCGAGTGTGCTGAATGTGGCAAGAGTTTTGGCCAAGCTAAAGATTTGGTGGTTCATCAGAGGGTTCACACCGGAGAAAAGCCGTACCAGTGCCCTCAGTGCAAGAAGAGCTATCGGCAGTTTGCGCATTTGTCCGTACATCTGCGAAGTCACACGGGGGAGAAGCCGTATCAGTGCCCCAATTGTCTCAAATTCTTCGCTCATTCATCATCCATGAAAAAACACCTGCGTGTAATGCATGCAGGTACGGGATAGTTCATCCAGATATGAAAATTCTGTCTGTACGACTTTCTGTTTTCCGTCTAATTTAAGATGAATGTTTTACAGAGGGGAAAGATTTACCCGTCCCAAAGGAAGTTGTTAAGGTCACTGTTGGCGTCGGCCCATCTAACACGACTGTAGAAGTTAAGCAAGAACCAGAGTCTGGTGATGAATACGGTAAGTATGACTGAGGTTATTTGAAACAGCAAATCTTCAAAAAGATGTGCATTTTGATAACTTTTCTCACATCTTGAATAGGTGAGGGAGAATGTAGCTTCCAGCTTCTCCTTCAAAACCAAAGAAATATGCCATCGTAAAGATGGCAAAAACGTATGTGTATTGCAAGGAACGTCAGCCTTTTCAGCATTTATGTTTTCATATAAACATCCTATTGTTGTATTTGTTGGGTACAAGGATAGTCTTCTTTGTCTGTAAACAGGACTGACGCTACTCTGCATGATCAAAAACTTCATTTTTCTTTGTGCTTTGGAAATAAATGCTACATCATGCACTCACGAATATCCACATTTCAAAAAGCATTTGGGTACAATACAAAATCCTGGTAACAGGGTTGACTTTTTAATAATGATGAAGAATATTTGTCTTTGGAGAGTTCACTTCCTGAAAGGATGAAGTAGTTTTGCAGATTTTTAAAAAATAATATTAGAGTATGGTAACAGGGTTGACGCTTAACCAATTGCAGTGACTTATTTTTGTATGTAACAAGTTGCACTCGTATTCACCGTATGAAAAATAAAGAAATAAATTGCATGTGGAAATCTGCCTTCACAGACAATAACACACACAGAACATGTCTAATTATTGCTTCGTGCACTATAACTACACTGGTATGTTTTTGCAGAATGTCAAGTGAAATCTGAAGAAAACTGCTTTGCTGTAATGGATGATGTGAAGGCTGTTACAGTCTCTTCAGCTCCTTCCAGTCCATTATCATCTGGGACTTTTAAAGATGAAAAATGAATGTGGATGGAAACTAGGGTTTCTCGCCAACAATCTGCCAAACTTCAGAGCGCATAGAAGAACCTGCAGCATCAACTAGATTGCCAATGACAAAAAAAAAACATTTTCAAGAAGTAGAATTGCATTCTACACTTACTCCAGAAGCTGGTCTCCATCCATGAAGACTCCAGCCTCCCTAATTGGAAAGGTGGTATTGAGACAAAAAACTGTGATCTACAAGAATCCACACCACAGCATGGACTGTGGGGTTTAGTTAAGCAGGGAACCTTTTAGGATAACAGTCGCTGTTAGTGCTCCTGATGAGAAATATCCAATCTGAAGAGCTTTCCGGAGGCCTCAAACATGACCTACTTATTTTTAGACTTTGTTGAGATATACACAAACTTTTGCCAGATATTAAATTCATACTGGAGAGAAGCATTGACATTTGGCACCTACCTTTAGCAAACTCCATTAGAGAAATGTCCATCTCTCAGACTGGCTAAATCTTGTGCTGGAAATCACGCTGATATAGTAGAGGATCCTTTGATTCTGCTCCTGGAGGTCCATTGTCTTGCAGACGGCAGTTCCAAAGCTGATCAAACTCACCTGCCTGTAATTTTCAAGTAATCATGAAGACTTTGAGTGGCTTCTTCAGGAGTGTTTGCATTGGAGCTAAACCCTCTAGGAGGAGAATAACCCAGATATAGTAAGAAAACTTGTCACTTTCCTGTATAATCGTTACAAACAGGCCCCCGCATTCAACCGGTGTGCTTGTCGTCCTACACATTCCCTGCCCTTTACATTTTCATCAGTTAAACTCACAGCTGCATTTAATACTCTGTACAGTTTTGAATCAATTCCACAGATTTTTTCCTCTAAAGTCAGTGTTGAAAACGTAAAGTCTGCAGATTCTGGATCTGCTTAGAAGACATGCAAATACACGTCCACCAACTCATTTCACTAATGTTATTTGTGTTACTGCAACCACCAAAGTTTTGTAATCATTTTTTTTCTTGTATACATGACATCTCATAATAGATGTAAATTAAATTACTTGTATGTTTAGTCTGAAAAAGCTAACATTTTCCCTATTTTGTCTAACTGCTTTAATGTCAAAGTCTGGTTATTTACATAATGGTGTAGTTACAGCATCTTCCAGCAGGGGCTAAACACTGAAACCAACCAGCCAGTCCTTAACCCCTTGCTGACACCTGTTGGTGTGGATTCATCATCACAGAAAAATCCTGGGAACAGTCCCAATACAAACAAAAATGCATACTCGCATACTGCTCAAACCATTTCTGCAATAGAAAAATATGGTAAACATGTATATTAGGGTTGCAAAGGGGTGGAGAACTTCTGGCAAATTTCTGGAAACGTTCTAAAAATCCCTGGAATATTCCAAAAAATCCTGGAAAGTTTCCAAAATTTCTGGAACATTTCAGAAATTTTCCACCTTTTTGCAACCCTATGTGTAGTATGCAGTTCCGAAATCAGCACCTGTGTCCAAATATGCCTACCCCTCTACTATACAGTGCGTGAAAATGGCCGAATTCACAGTATTCATAAAACATCCAAGTGACCTACTACTTTTGCATGGATTCTGAAGTGTGTATTCTACAGAAGATCATAACTCATCAAATGTAGTACCTACACAGACAGTGTGACTTCAGACACACCTAGTGTCAACAGCATCAATAGACCTTCATTGCTTGTCAAAAACATTACCAAGCCCATTATAATCGCAGAGTGCAGAACACAAACGTATGCATTAAAGTGGCAGATTGCCTTTGGTTGGAAAGAAGAAAAAATCCTGCCACACCTTTCCTTTAATATATCTTTATTGCTTGAATAGTTTTGATACAGAACAGCTTACATTTCTGATTCTGAAGAACAAGAGTAGTGTACCAAAAATGTTCTGGTGATTCTGGTTCCATTCAAGTCCAGTAGAATTATTTTTGGGGATGTAGCAGCGACACAAAGCTCCCTTTTACATCAGTCAGCACGTCAAACAGTGACAGGTCTCATTCCGCTGCGTTTTTCCAAAGAGACGGGGAGGATTAAAATAAAAAAACAGAAAAAGGAGAACATATCTTGTAGAAAGCCCATGAGTGGAATGTGGATTTGAGAACTCCACCCTGTTCATTTGAATTCACAGTCAAGTGCTAAAAAAAGTAGTGATTGACGATTCAACATATTCAGAAATCATATGTGAAGAGAATTTTTTGTTGCAAGAAAAATGACGATTTGAGAAAGCCTTTTGTATGAACCCTGAGAGTGAGACAGAGCGGGGCGGCAGGAGGGGCGAAACCGAAAACAATTATTATAACTGAACAACATAAAAGGTTATCATGCAAAACTACCCTACAGATCCACCCATAGCAGAATAACAGTAAACTTCACAGTTTTATACACAAAAGAATATATCAATGAAAACAACTTTTATCTCTGTCAAACTGAAATAATCATCATAATAATAAGATAACAGAAACAGACCACACATTCTAAAAAAAAAAATGCATACAAAGATCTACATAAAGCTTTCAGATCAAAAGTGATTATTATCATCATCATCAAGGACCCAGATCAAAGCTGGGATGCTAAGTATTGAATTTGAATCATTTTTATGCAGCATAATTGTGTTAATACATGGCTTCTCCACATTTACTTCTTCACCCGCACTGGGTCATAATAAATACATTAAAAACATCTGTGAGCATTCTTACCAGGAAACCAGTCACTTCTGCACACAACCAACACAAAACACACTCGCATGAACCCAGGAAAAGGCATCGGGGGAAGCAGAAGTCCCGGAATACACAGATAAAGCGATTGCATTCAAGTTCATCCAATACTACAAGTCTCGTGCCTGAGCAGAGATGTTAGATCTTCACCACTAGGGGGCGCACAGCAAACTCTCTCCTCAGCCCCACTATTGGTTCAATATTCCTTTTCCTTGTTTGCTTGCATTTCGTATTCTGTCATTGCACTTCGGCACGTGCCGATCAACAGGCATCCGTTTGGGTAAACGGCTGCTCCAGGAAATCAGGAGACCTATAATTGAAGATGCTTACCAGTCCACACAATTTTCATACAGTCTCCATGCCCTTTGAGGTTTGCTTTGTTTGTGTCTGAGGTTTCTTTACAACACGAGTTCATAAAACTGAGAGGTCAAAGAGATCCAACACTACACAAAAGAACGTGTGATTGACATGGGGTCCTCCTAGTTGAGGAGCGCTTCAGGACGACGTCCTGGAAGGAGGCAGCAGGGCGACAGGGTTCAAGTACACCATGAGTTCTAGTTCGTGAGCCCGGCAGAAAGTGAGACACCTGCCTAAATGCTCAGACGAAAGAGTAAGGCTTAAAAAGTGAAGCTTTTGGAAGACGGTAACCCTGGACACAGGTACACATTTCATCGTATTTTTGTCAAGTACATCAGATTCATAACTCATGGGCTTCCTGTAATTCCTCAGTGTGTTTGCTTTTTTATTTTTGTATTCTTAAGGAGCTGAGACGGGGCTTGAGGGACATAATTCAAGAGCCCTTAAATCTAAAAACATTGCCTTCCCACATTAAAAACCATCCTTTTGTGCCAAAAAATGGAACACAAATGCTAACTAAACACATTGACACAATCAGCACAGCTGGACATTCATCACCTGTTTTGGGCAAACATTGCCCATATACTTAACGCGGCAGCTGCTGAACATCGTTTTGCTTGGCTGTTTCCCCAAAACATCTTTACACGACAGCACCCAGAATAACAGAGCTCTGTTATAAAACAATTACTCTGGAAGCCTCCGTCATTAAACGAATTACACAAAATGGGAAATTAAAGAGGACAAACAGCAACGAAGAAGCCCTATGGTGAACAAGTCGTCTTTGCGTATTCCAGTTATGCACTTGGGTGCAAGCCTCTCAGTAGAAACATGTCCTCTTGTTAATCTCAGCCGTCACTGGTAAGGGTATAAACTTGCTTTTCATAAGTCTCTGAACTGTACAATACGATATGCAAATTTGTTCATATATTGCTTAAAGTAGTTCTCTCAGGATTACACAAAAAAATCGTAAAATACTATAAAAATCAACTTTCGATCATGGTAAATGCTGATAAAGATATAGCAAAAAAAGTAGAAAGGCACTTGGAAAGAGTCATTGCTTCTTTTTTCTCATTGCAATGTACTTTTGTTATATGGCACTGCTTCTTGTTGCAGCATATTTCACCACAAGAAAAGAGTCGCTCTTCACTCCGCGCCAAGCAGTGGCGGCTCGGGGGTGGGCAAAATGTGCTCAGTAGTGGGCTTGGTGTGGATCTCCAGTAAGCCTTGAATGAATCCCTCCGACGGCTCTAAGTCGGATGCGGTGGGTGAATCCGATGCTTGTTTCTCTGCTGGATGTTCTTTGGGTGTCTCTGTTGCTGATGCAGGTTTTGTCTTGAAGGTTAGTTTAAACTCTTCAGTTTCCGCAGAGGGTACACAATCCTCTTTCTCCTGTGAGGTTGGTTCCCCCTTTACAGTGTCTGATAATTCACTTTCGTTCTCAGAGGGTGGATTGGTGCTGGTGGGTGTGCACTCGCCTTCGCTAGCCGAACGCCCGCTGAAGCCGTCCTCGTCTGGTCCACCTGTGACCCCGCAAGTCGAACCATCACTATCCGCTCCACGGAGTTTCTGGTGGATTCGCTGATGTCGGACCAAACTGTGCTTGAGGGTGAACGTGCGCTCACATGTCTGGCATTTGTAAGGCCTCTCACCTAGTAGACACGTCATTAAAAACATTCAGCTTTTAATAAGAAACAAGAGCTCTATGTTTTGATGATTCATTTACCAATCTATACCAATCAAGTATGTTTTTAGCATGGTCATTACCTGTGTGAGAGCGCATGTGTCTGGTGAGGTCCTGAAGGCTCCAGAAACGTTTATTGCATATACTGCACACCTTTTTTCTCTTGTCCGGCTTGCTGCCAGGTTCTTCAGTCTCTCCCTCAGCACTCTTTGGTTCAGTTGCAGCTCCCTCTTCATCACTCCTCTCCTCTTTATCCTCCTCAGACCCACTCTCCACCACACTGCCCATTCCCTCGTTCTCTGCTGTGCCCTTCCTTACACTCTCCACCTCTTCTTCTGTAACCGCTTTCTTATTTTCACAAGGCACAATTGGATCATCTGATTTTGTGAGGCTTTGTTCCGGTCCATTAGTGGAGTCTGATGCTACATCCAGCTGGTGAACTTTCTCGTGTCTGGTCAAGGTAGCAGCATAGCGGAAGCTCTTCTTGCAACTCTTGCAGGTCAATTTGGACTCCTCCTGGGGTGTTGCTTTGTCAGACATGTCGCTGTCTGCTGTAGGGGAGGACTGCGGCTTGTCTTTCTCAGTGATCTTGAAATCCTTTGGCTTGGAAACAAATGTCAAGTCAAGGGTCTTATTGCTATGGGAATCGCCATCCTCTTTTTCTGGGTCATTGTGCTTCAAAGACTCGAGGGCTGTTGGGTCCTCTTCTTTGTGAGGAAGAGGCTCTACCACGGCTGCCTCTGTCGGCTTAGCTGGTGAAGGTTTCTCAGCATCTGATGCCACAGGCTTCTCAGGGTCTGATCTTGTGAGATCCATTGCCTCACTCACAAGAAGCTCCGTCTCAGATGAGCTCTCTGAAATATACATTGACCCATTACATTTTAGGTAATAACGTGCAGTTTTAACCTCTATCAACAGATAAAGAAATACTTAGTCTAAAGTACTTAAGCAATTCAAAGTTTCTATTATATATTATTTTTGATACCTGCACTCTCTGGTGAGCCTTCCTCTGCTTCCTTAGGCTTGGGTATTGCACCATTGCGTCGAAGCACTCTGTTGGAAACGCCATGTTTGCGTAAAAGATGTCGCTCACAATTGGACTTGGTCGAGAAGAAGGCATCACACTGGGGACAAGGATATGGCTTCTGACCTTTTAAAGGAATACAAAATAAAATCAGGAAAATAAATTGCAGGGGTAAAACAAATCTTTACTTGACCCTCCAACTCTAGCACTCTCTTTTCTAATTCTATTCTTTAAAAAGAACTTGCCCCTTTTAGACTTGCACTCAATTCATTTACTAACTGCTTGTTTTCTTTAAAAAAAAACTAACACTAGCTTCTCTATTCTTTTTGTATTTTATCTATTTGTTTTCATTTATTATACAATTAACAAAAAGCAAAAAAAAGGCCTCTAACACTAGCTTGCCCTATTCTTTTTCTATACTATCTGCTTTCTTTTCATTTATTATATAATTTAAAAAAAAACCTTGCTACATGTATTGCTTTAGGCTAACTGAGACTTGTCATTGCACTTGCATATTGCTCTTTTGTTGATTTTGATTGCTTCCATTGTCATCATTTGTAAGTCGCTTTGGATAAAAGCGTCTGCTAAATGACTAAATGTAAATGTAAAACAGAAGGTGTACATCAACCCTGTAAATCTTTACACACCTGTGTGTGTTAACATGTGGCGCTGAAGCGAGCTGGACCAAGGGAAAACTCTGGGACAAAAGGGGCAAGTCATCTTTTGCACAGAATTTGAGTATGCATTCTTCTTTCCTTTGGACTGCTGGGCTGGCAAGTGTTTCTCATCATTCACTTCTTTCTCGTCACTAGCACCTGGCTGCTGCCTGCCTTTTCTTGCCAAATCAATTGTGTTGGTCTGAAGATAGGCACTGAACTTGTTGGCATCAGTGGTTGCCAACATCCTCTCAACACTAGCAAACTCCCCACTAGACTCCAAATCAATACTTGGGTCTGTGGCATTCATCACAGGTTTCTCTTTCACTGTGCTGTTGGTAGGCCTTTTCCTGGACCTCTTCTTTGAGCTCTCTAGTAAGAGCTCTTCAGTCAAAATATCTGGTGATTCTTGCTTGCCATGTGTGTCAGAATCAGCCTGAAGACTACAAGTGTTGTCCCATTTAAGAAGGTCAGGGGCACCAGAAACTGAGGAAATGATCTGAGCAATGGATGCTAGTGGTGGAAGCTCCTTCACAGCAGCAGAGGAAGGTTTAGGAAGCAGGGGCTTTAAACGCAAGAGCCTTCCTGCAGCATTAGTGCTACCAGTAAGGGAGGACAAAGCAACAGGGACCTGGTAGCATCCAAGAGGTTGAGACTTCTCATCATTGGACTTCTCGGCCTGAAGAGCTTGTGCAAGTATGCTAATTGATGACTGTTCTTTCTTAACCTCCCTTGGCAATTTGGCCTCAATGTCTTGTTTAAGCTTCTTCACAGGATTCTTAGGAATAGAGAGGTCAATTGGTTCCATGCTAGAGTCATAAGAGACAGGTTCAATTTTGATCCCAGGAGATCCACTCACACTTCCAGCACTGCTGCTCCCACGGCTTTTGTTAGAGAAGTCCAGAGGTTGATCCATATCTACGTTGAAAAAGCTAAGGTCCTCAACTTTGATAGGCTGCACTACAGTGCTAGGAGAAACCCCATTGAGAGGAGATGGATTTGGGCTATTTTGGGTTGATGCAGCTAGAAGAGTGATTATGTGCTCTTCAATATCCTGCTCTTGGACCTCTGGATGTTGTTTCAGAAGGTGATGGATACAGTTACGCTTGGCAAGGAAAGCTGCTCCACAACGGTTGCACTCAAATGGCTTTCGCTGGCAGCCATTGTGTGTGCGCAAGTGTATCTGCAGGGCTCGAAAGGTCTTTAGGTCCTCCCCGCAGAAGCGGCAGGTAGTTTCACTAGTTCCAGCCTGCTCCAGTATGTCTGGTGTGGACGAGGTAACATACTTAATGTTTTTCTCAATCTCCTTGCGATTGCTTTTCATGTGCTTTTTGCGAAGGTGTCGCTCACAGTTAGCCTTGACAGTAAATGGGTAATGACAGAGCTGGCAGACATAGGGACGTTCACCACTGTGCGTTCTCAAATGACGGATCAGTGTTGCCTTGTCTGGGGCAACATAGTCACAGATATTGCATTGGTGGCGTAGGATGCCCAAATGATATCGCATATGTGCCTGCAGTACACCAGAAAATGCAAAGACCTGGTCACAAAATCGGCAGGGGTACGAGCCCTTTTGAGATGTTCCCTTCTTTCCAGTGGTCTCTTCTAACTTGCCGTTCTCCTGTTTGATATGTCTTTCATCCATGTCCATTGGGGTATGGGCATCTCCCATGCAGTCGGCCTCCATTTGTATCCTCTCTGCCGAAGCATGGTTGTTGGCAGAATTGGATGAGGAAGATGGGGAGAGGTCCCGAACTGTCTTGAGAGGATAGCTGGCAGGGGGTGGGAGGCTAGGGCTGACACAGCCCAAGGAAGCTTGCTGGGTGTTCAATAGGGGTGGTGGAGTTGAAGCTACCATACTGGTTCTGGGAGCCACCAAGGGCTTTGGCTTGAGTGGAGGCATCTGCTTGTAGCCCAACTGCACGGCACTAAAAGGCGCCTTGGATAAGGGTGGGAGCGTGATTTGGTTACGGGCAGCGGAAGTTACTTTGATTATTTGCTGTATATCAGCGAGTTCCATGTTGGATTCACCACAAACTGGCTTCACTACCATACCACCATCTGGTTGCACCAGAAAACCAGTCTGGAAGGGCTGAAGGGACAGCAGTTTGAGAGCCTCTTGATGGGACAGACCATGAAGAGTCGTTGGGTCTACAAGAGACAGGTTAGCCCCTCCAACAAGGCCAGCCTCCTGAGGTACAGAGGACTGATTCTGCTCCACGTGGATAACCCGAATGCTATCTAGCTTGGCCTGCTGGACATCCTCTTCTGAGGGGGCAGGCTTAACCTGAGAGATGTGCTGCAAGCCCAGAGAGTCCATGAAGCTGCTTTTCTCAGGAGTGGGAGGCTCATCTTTCATAATTAAGGGTGAAGTTGTCTCTTGGGTGCCACTGGAAGTCTCATGAGAGGCTTTGTGCAAGTCCAGAGCCGAGCTAAGAGGGAATGCCTTATCGCATGCATCACATACAAAACGATGGAATTTGCCAGTGCATCGCCGAAGGTTGGTTTCACACCAAATCTGTGGGTTTAAAATAAAATTGAAACTTAACAACACTCTCAGATATTACAGACAAGATAAAGAACTTTTACATATTGTGCAGATCAAGTACAAGTTACCTGGGCAATTTGCGGGAACTTCTGGCATGAAAAGTCAATGAAAGCCAGATCATTAAAGCCAAGAGGGATGGATGGGTTGTTCTGAATAAAGGGTTGTCCGTTGGGGTCTGTGGGTAGCTGCTTATGGGTAGCTGCATTGTGGCGGAGCAAACTTCGTTGTGTCCGGAATGAGATGCAGCATAAATCACATCTAGGAATAAAAATACTAATGTGAGGTGTTGATTTCAACAACAAACACATTATAAAAGAATCAATCCGCATGTTATATATGCAAATATGAAATAAATACAGCATCCAATCTACAGTGTACTGTGGAGACATCCGCACAGGGAAAATAGAGCTGGGATTTACTAAGTGAATTAACTAAGAGCTGGAAAGTCGATGATAACCACACCCTTGCCTACAATGGCACTCTTTCTGTGTTTGTAGGGTGCTGCATAAGACAGCTGGCTAATGTCTGTGACACTGTGCATTGATCTTGTCACATGCCCTGCCCCGATCATGGTGATGACGTGTCCATAGGGACTTTAAGCTGCTTTTATCTCAGTAGACAAAGACAATACAATGTAAGGAATAGCATAGCAGCACATCCACCTATGCACATAAGGTACATAATGCCTTGAAATGATAATAGGTTTAGGACCAATGCTTGAGAATGGTTTAAAAATGTGTAAGTTTTGCATGAGAAAGCCATGAGAAGCAAAATTTAGCTTGCCTGTTACAAGCACTTCAGAGTTCAAGCACTGTTACCTATAACTACACTAAGCACTAACCATTCCCTGTCCAGGATGCTGTAGTTTCTATTGGCTATTCTGCAGTGGCTTCAAACGGTCAGGTTCATCCAATCAGGTTTCAGAGTTGGAACTGTTCATTTTATTATAGCATGAATGTATGGGAGTGTCTTACTTGGAAGGGCTGTTTGGGTAACCCAGATAACACGTCTGTATCTTGAAAAGCATTATTGGGTCTTTTTCTATGTGTGTAGTTGTTTTGCTGCTTTTAGAACTCTTCAGAGTGGAACCCAATTCACAGCAGTCTAGATCCTCTTAACTAGCACTCTTAGCTCTTGTGATTACACAGGATTAGTGCTAAATTTGCATACAACAATAATGCTGCTCTGAAACACAATCAGACAGGCCCTGCCAACTTCCTTCTCTCAGAGCCATGCCGTACAGCTATCCATTAACAAGAGGAGGTACCCATCGGTTGGGTGAATATTCTGCAGTCTGACGTCTCCAGGGATACAGCTACAATTTTACACACATGCATGCACACACTACTACAGAGATGTTCTGCAGAATGCATCTTCCTGAAGTCTCCTCCTGTGTCTCATTAAATCCCCCCCAGCTACACAACCTCTGTGGTCTGTCCCCCCTCCATTTTCCCCTCTTTCCTCTTCGTGCCACTCCCTTGCCCTAAGCCTGGGGGCCACATGCGGGGGGGGGGGGGGGAAGAACCTCTTAGGCCTCTCCGGGGGGGGGGG